GTTTTCATTGTTTTAAGAAGGAAACTATCCTGGTATACCATAGCTGTGTCAAATATGTCTTCATCCACTTCTGGTGTCTTCATTTGGAATTTGATGAGTATATACCAATTTTTTTTCCAATACGATCATATCACTCTTATCATTTGAATCTGCATAGAGGCTTGCCTATTGATTGTCAAATGAATGTCCATGCATAAGTTAATTGATCGTTATTAGCTACCTAGAAATTAATCTAGGAACATTGCTGCTGAAATTTGGAAATGCATTTATGTTTGAACTTAATAGATGAATTGGCCAATAAGCTGTCTGATCAGGAAGTTGTTTGTGCATGCCACTCTCCATTTGTAGACAAATTTTGATATTTGCCATTTGTATTTCATCATCTTAAGAACTCAAATTGATCATCTTTTTTCTTCATCAATTTATGTGCAACAGAGTTGCGAAAGCAGTTGAATCAACTTGATTATGAAGGATCAGAAATCAGTCAAATCACCACTGTTACCGAGGATTCTTCAGAATCAGAGATGATTGAATTGGAAAGTGAAGCAGAAGTCTATATCAAGAACCTACTTGTTGCTTCAGGTTTGTATGATGGATCGTGGGTTAAATCTTTTTCGAGATGGGATCCATATGTGAAGCCCATGGGAAATTGGGTCTTCGAAAAGGTGGAAGAATCATACCAAAAACCAACCAACGAATATGAAGCTGCAAGCTACAATGACAGTAGTTTGGAGCATAAATTATTGTTTGATTTATTGAATGAGGCACTCGCAATTGTACTTGGGCCCCCTAGGACATTGTCCAAGTTTAAGAGGAAGATAACTGAAGTTGCCATGTTGCCCTACCCTCGGGGCAGAAAACTATTGGAGCAGGTATGGGATATGGTATGTGAATTTTTATACCCCTCGAGCTACACATCCTGTTATTCATTCGACGATTTGGTGGCTCATGATTTGAATGTTATGCCTTGGTCTAGTCATTTGGACGAAGAGATGTGTGATATGGGTAAAGAGCTGGAATATCAAATTATAGGGGACCTTGTGGAAGAGCTTCTGATGGATATGTAGTTTTAAATTTTGGTTGTGACGATTGTGTACAGATACCACAGTTTTAACTCGTGGGATAGCGTTGTGTATAAGGGTGAAGTATGGACTCACCAATGCTGTGATCAGTGTTCGTAAATTTACGTATATGTCATACGATGATTGTAGGTGTTCGTGAATAGGTAGGGGATTTAACCAATGACTGTAAATTTTCTCATGTATCACTAATTATTATTTTTTTTCCTGACAAGTTGATATACAATGAAAACAGGAAATGCTGATAATCTGAGTGAAATTCTGAATAATTTGTCCTGTACATTGCTTTATCTTTCTGAAGGATGTGCAAGAACTTTTTCCAGGAAACTTTAACATTTGCTGCTTTGAGAAATTTGCTCTTTTCATACAGTTCACATTTCAGCAACCTGTTCTCACTTTTTTCACTGAAGCAAAACAAAGTAATCACATTTTATCAATACTGTATTAAAATCTGCTATTCTGCCAAAGCTTAACCCAAATCCTGACTACTTGACTTGATGACTTGTCTAAATTGGTCTGATCCACCCAAACTCAACTAAGAAAAATCTGATTAAATTGACTTACCTAGACAAGTTAGCTTCAAATTGCAATACAAACTCGAAATTCAGATTGAAAAAACCAAGCCTAACCTGCTAAAAATATCATTAAATCACACCCGATCTGACCAAACCCGATTGAGATAAAACCAACCATGAATTAAGTTCAACCTTGACCGATTAACCCCGTTTACCCACCTATTGACTTGAAAACCCCTCAATACAGTCTATACAATGCCAATCTCATCAAATTCCATTTGTCATTGGGCCTTATTAAGTCTTACATAAGAAGATGGACCAAATGGCCCACAAACTGATATAAAGACTTGGAAGAGCAAAAGTAAACTGTAAGAAGACACAAAACTTATTGATTGTTTCAATCTTAGATCATATATAATTGGTACAAATTGGTGAACATATACCACAAACAAAGTTAATTTATCCTAGTCACATTAAAAATGAATGGACCTAACCAAATAAGATAACCAAAGACTAGCTTATTGTGTGTTAGTGACATAAGAGGTTGGTAAAGAGGACCATCAAAAAAATAAGAAGACTTGATCGAGCTCATGAATAGAGTTGCCTTTATCTGCAGGCAACTCATCATTTTTTTGGGCGGCCGAAGGTTGGTTTACCTATTTCTCTATTAGACTTTTTTTTTAGGGGTCTAACTTTGTAGACTTGAGCAATAAACGCATTAAATGATGCTCCATCCAACAAATAAAGAAATTTCATCTTTTTTTTTTCTTGTAGCAATTACAAATTGCAAAGCGTAAACTTATTTATTTATTTTAATCTGTAAGGTACACGGGAAGGGCCCCCACCCTATCATAGGAATGGGAGGATGAGGAGTCGAACACCCAACCACTTGGAGGGGGGGGGGGGGAGATGGAGAGACTAAGGACTAACCATCCTTCCATCTCCTACATCCTCGTGTAAATTTGGTATGTACATTAGAAAAACATTTTTTTTTTTAAGTTGGATGTTGTATCACTCACATGGCTCTTTTATATACATAACTTATTTAAAGGTACTTGTATAATAATTTTGTATGTACAACCAACTGTACCTTAAGTATGATATCCCATACAATTAAAGTTATTTCTTTGTCCATGTACAACAGTACAAGGTACAACCAGTTATATGATGAAATCTCACGTAAAGTTATAATGCACAAATGGGATGATTGTAAAGATCGTGCACATATAATCTCTTTTAGTTGGGTAGCCTATTGAAACATCAGGAATAATAATCACTGAAATTTCTTAAACCCCAGCTAATTTGGCATTGACAGTATAAATTGCAGATGATAGTATCCCTTAGAAGTAAAGATATGAAAAGGTTGGCCTTGGGCCTGTTCAAGGGAAGTCTAGAGACCCGAAAAACAATAGGTCAAGTTAAGACCCAACATTTCACTTTCAAGGGCTCTACTTTAAGGGACTCATGAAGTGGATAACAAATAATAATTCCACATTACTAGCTTTTTTAAACTTTGGTATAGCTAACTTTAATCCATCAGTCAACTTTGCAAAAAGAGGAGGATATATTTTTCTTACATATACTTTGTCATCCTCACATTCCTCATATCATGATGTATTATACTACCTGTATCTTACATTAGTTTATGTTTCATTTTGGTCAGCATGTTGCCGCTCTAAACATGTAAATTAAATTCTTTGTTGTTTCCGAGTATATCTTGACTACGTTTCATCTTAACTAGGGTACACCTTATTTTTTGAGCAGCGAGACTACATAAGCATAATAATTGTTGAAGAGGGCTAATTGATTTAAGATATATTTTAATCCATATAGTAGTCAAACACGTTACACGTGTGGCACAAACGCGACCCTACACTGCTGCACAGTGCCTAATTGAATAATAGACTATACGCCACCCTAGCTGCAGTGTTCGAATTGTAAAATAATAGTAGAACATGCGCCCCCATTTAAGTCCAAAACTGATTGTAAACCATAAAAATTCAAACCTGCAATATATAATTAAAGAGGTAGAAAAATATACGGGAACAATTATTTTATTGATAATTTGTGGGTTACAACTCTCAAAGATCTCTTGATTCCTCTCTTATCAACCTACAATGTTTGGTAGTAGGGAGGAGATAGGGTCTTTGTGACTTATTCCATCTGAACATCATTAAACCTAGAAACGACGACTGGGAGGAGATGGGGTCTTTGTGACTTATTCTATCTGAGCCTACTTAAACTCTAGATTCGACCCTCTTTATATAGAGTGTCGTAGAGTAAAAGATAATAATCTATGAGATTCTGAAGATAAATATCTTATAATTTTTTTATATTATCTCCTTATTTACATATATCTGACACCTAATAATTAACAAAATTTCGGTGTCAACACCGATTACAACATGTTTTGTAATTTAAGTAGTCGAGAGATTGGGTTACATAATTGCTAATTGCTATTATTATTAACTACTTGGTATGTTTTTTATAGTCCTATAAAAACATGTATGATCAGGTTTATTCGGCCAAATAACAATTGGCGTACGGCGGAGGATTGGAGAAGCACATGATTTGTCGGTTTACTGCGAACACTTCGAAAATAACCTTAACATTAAAACAAATATTTTATGGGCATAATAACTAACAAGGCTATAGTTTTGTAGTTGGAATATTCTATCTTCATGTCAAAATTATGTTTAATGTTTGATTAGTAGACTGATGTGTTGGGTGCATTGTATCAGGAACGTGTGTGCGTATTGGAACAGTAAGTCAAGAATACTATTATGTTGGCCGATTTAACATGATTAAAATCTCATACGAGTTTCACAAACTATAACTTACTACGCGCAATAAGTATTAGATACACAATAATTACTCAGTACGAAGTACCTTTCTGTTATACTTGATTATTTTGAAAACTTAAAACCATAACGAATGCTGGACAATTGGATATAGACAAACGATTGAAAGTAAACCATGCACCAAAATCATTTTTTTTTGTTAGGAAAACAATTGCACTACAAGAAAAGGTGATTGCTTGAGTAATTCAACCGATAATAGTCTTTATTATGTACTCGATTGGAGAATCAAATATGTCAAATTCAATTCTTGATCTAAATACAACGATCGCAAGTCTAAAATAACTAACGTCCGCAAAATAATTTACTAAATTACACATATGATGATACAGATACACACGCAATATTGAATACAATAATTGGATACACGCAATATTGAATAAAATAATTCGGATACAAATCAGTATTGTCAAGCCCATTCGAGAAGAACAAAATCTCTCGAGAAACGGACAAAAGCTGCACCCTGACCTCGATGCCCGTTTTAAGTTAACCACATGCGAACACGATCCCTCATTCTCATAAAAAATTTACATCCTCTCCTCTTCTTCTACCACTATATAGTGTGTATTGTGTAATACGCAGCAAACCCAGAAAAAGTAGAAATGTACAAAGTATAAACAAATTCCAAATCTTTTCTTTCTTTATTTAATAATCCCCTTTAAAAATAATTCTAAATCCCCCCTTTTTTCTCCTCTTTCCTTTTTGTCTTTTTTTGAGGAGAGAGAAAAGAAAACGAGTTTTTCCCAATTCAACTCGTCTTCCTCCTACCACTGCTACTACTCTTACTGGAAAATTGTGTGAAGAAAATGATGGATCCCCAGCAAATTCCGCCGCAATTGCCGCCACACGACGCCGGAAATGGGTTGATGAATGGCGGAGTTGACGGAAATGCGAGTAATAATGGTGGGATTAATGGGGTTTTGTATGTCAAAGTAATGACTGATGAACAGCTTGAAATTCTTCGGACTCAAATTGCGGTTTATGCTACAATTTGTGAGCAGCTTGTTGATATGCATAAAGCCATTACTGCGCAACAAGATCTTGCTGGTTTTTCTCTCTCTTCATTCTGTTTTTATTTCAGAATTTCATCTTTTTTTACTTCATTTATTGAACTGGGTATTTTTTTATATTTAATTTTATTGATTATCTGCTGCAAATTCTGGGTTTTTGACTTTTTATTTTTCTGGGTTTTTAATTTCATTGGGTTATGAGTCTGGCAATATGCATTTTTAGAGTATTTGTTTATAGATCAAGTCTTAATTTTGGAATTTTCTGCTGTAATTTTATACTCTAGTAATTTGGTTAGGTGTTATTCTTGTCAGTTGTCAGTGAAAAGTAGGAATTGATCATGTTAAACTTCTTGTTTTCACCTTCTTTTCATGTGATCTTTGTACTCCATCTTGTAATATCCTCCTTCTAGAATTAACAGTTACATTGATATGGTAATTAATTTGATTTAGTAATGTGACGACTATATAGCGATGAGTGACGTTGTAGTTTGACAAGGAGAGTGTGAATTAGGTGTGGGAATGTTTTACTTGTTCAGAGATTGTGTACATGTGATAAATGTTATGGTATGTTTGTACTTTGTTAATTGAATTAAATTGGCACAATTGTCAAGGTAGATCATCATTGATTAAGTATACTCTAGTCCATGCCTATTTTTGGATTCTGGTCTTTGTGTGCATTAATTATGAACTGGTAGATCTTTAAAAGCTGGTCCATTTGTCCAAATTAACAACTTTTTGAGATTTCAAGTAAAATTAATTCAGACCAGGTTTCCATTGATGGTGTATCAAGTTATAAGCTACTTGTATAAAGTAAAGACAGGAAATACAATCTAAATGTTTTTTCAAAATAATTATCAAACAATGTTCTTCATATGTCAATTGGATCAGTTTGGATTGTCATGATATGATATCTATCATGTGTGATCGATATTGTAAAATGTACTAGTACCATTAAGTCCTTCAATTGAGAAATCATGTCTGTTGAGAAATCATATCATGTGTGATCGATATTGTAAAATGTACTTGTACCAAGGTTGGTTGAGTTGCTGGTTTGGATGATTGTGTCCTTAATTACATAGCTTCATGATACATTTTTTGTTTATATATAATACAGGAGTTAGGCTAGGAAATATGTACTGTGATCCATTGGTCACAGCTATGGGACACAAAATTACTGCTAGGCAACGATGGACTCCAACACCGGTGCAACTCCAGATCCTTGAGCGCATCTTTGACCAAGGCACAGGAACTCCAAGCAAACAGAAGATCAAAGAAATTACTATTGAATTGTCTCAGCATGGACAAATCTCTGAAACAAATGTCTATAATTGGTTCCAAAACAGGCGTGCTAGATCAAAAAGAAAGCAGTTAAACAATAATGCACAAAACAATGCTGAATCAGAGGTGGAGACAGATGCAGAATCACCCAAAGACAAAAAGACAAAGCCTGAGGATTTCCAATCTCAGCCTAACTCGATGCTGAGGACTGATGATTCTTGTTTTCAGAATCAGGAGATGAGTTCTAGTATGCACACAATCGATTCACAGTCGGGCAAAATGGATTCTGTGTTTGCTTCTGATGGCAGCTCAAAATCGAGCCAGAGTCTCAGCCACCTAGGATTTTATGAAAGCATTATGCATAATCCAAGTATGTAGTTACATGAATGCTATATGCCTATATATGTTCAATAAGTTCTTTCCCCAACCCCACCCTCTGCTTGTTTATAAAATTCACTTTTTTGCTCCTTTTTGTTGTTTATAATTATATACTGTATATATATATATATATATATATATATATATATATATATAAAAGAGCTTATGTTGGCCAAGTATATTACTGTAATGCTTTTCTTTTGTTTAAGATGATGTGAATTGTCCGTTCTGTTATCTTACTTGAGATTTCAAGAAGTAGAATTGGGAAAAATTTAGTCGTGCCATACATTTAAGCAATGATCTTGAGTCACAGCTTTCACCTTGTGCTTCAGTCTTTCTATTGTGTTTAGGATTATTGTATATTTGGCATTGGGTTGTTGAGAATTATTTTTTCCCTGTCTTAATTTTCTTTTAAACCAAACTGTTACTTCCCCTTAATAAATTCCTTTTGAGTTTTGACTATACTTCAATTTTGCTTCTCTTGTTAATTTTTTTGTTTATTTCAGAAATTTGACCACAGCTAACAGCTGCTTCTACAAGGAAAGCTGAGACAAATATTTTTGTGTCTGCTTCTTTCCCTGGCAGTTTATTGTTGCTTAGTCATATCATGCTCTTTTTTTAATTGGCTAAAAATTCCAATAGCTCTTCATATATTTGAATGGGGATAGTACTTTGTGTCCTATTCATCGTCTGTCTGAAAGAAGATAGAATTCTGATGTTGAAACGACAGGGTATATTGGTATAACTTCAGCGGAAAATTGGAGAGTCTAATATTTTGGCCTTTTAAAACAATCTTGGCTCTAGTAATCCAGTTTGCTGCTATTGCTTGTGCCTTCACTGTTGAGTTTTCATTTGAGCTCGTGTATGAGAACTTTTGGTGGCAAATGCTTACATTGTTGATATGCTTGAATTTTAAGGAATTTTTTGCTATTAGTTTTGAGTTATGACAAAGTACTTATAAAAACTTTTTATGGGTTCCTGTTTTTGTAAATGCAGGAATTGATGACTTGATCGGTAAGATTGAAGTGCCCGGTAGTTATAACTCTTATCAGTCAACAGAGGACTACAGCATGACTGGCTGACTTTTATCCTTCGTCCTTGTGCTATAATATACCAGAGTATTTAATTTTCATGGAAAAAACCATGTTTGCAGTTTGAAGCCAAGCCGGGTCTCTAGCCGAGATTACTGAGCTAGGTAGCAGTAGTGACACCCCTCAGAAAGTAATTGGAACCTTTGGAGTTTGGAACAACGCCCTGATAGTTCACGGTTGCTCTTCTGAAGTCTAATGATACAGCTGATCAAACTTTGTGTGTGAATTTGTTTATGGATTTAATTTCAGTATTTGAAGTCTGATATATTAGAAGTGTATATTTCCTTGGCTGATTCATGAGAATCATGACAACTTTTTTGTTTTATAGAACTCCCCGCTAACCGGAGAAGTGGAGAGTGGTGTGGCTTGTGTCTATCTTATATATTTGTACTCCATGTGCTGGTTTTTAATGCAATGGATTTGCACTGTTTCTTCCCAAATCATTTTCTTATATGTTGTTTTTTCATACACAGTTTTTAGGACTGCGGTTTCTTGTAAATCATTATATGGGTATGTAATTAACTAATTACAGAAGGATACTACTTTGTGGACTCTGGTGGCGCCACAAGTTATTACATTCACCCTTCATTGACACACTTCTCTATGACTATTGATCACATAAGGGTCTATGGAGGTCTTGAGTTAACGGAGACTGTACATAACTTGCGTTATTGATAGTTAAGTGACAATTTTGGTGGTTGAAATCATCCACTTTACCTCTTAACTATCAATTTAGTCGATTACATACATGTTTCTTTTCAATAACTCAATGTCACCCCTTGTGACTTTCTGTAATTGACTAGTGACCCCGTGTAGTTCCAAGCAACGTCACATGAACCCATAATTCACTCCTATCATAATTTGAGGTTTCAACAATAGATATCAAAATCTTCATAAATAGTTCAATTTCGTGATTAGCCTTAAATTTAGTGTCCAAAGAACACTTTTAAACTCGATTAAGTTACACATTAAGTGCTTGGAACCATCTCATTCATGAAAAAAAAACAAAAAAAACAAAACCATCTTTTTGCACCTACTGAGAGCCTAGAGGATGTAATATTAAGGCTGACAATCCCTGACCCGACACGATAATTCGACCTGAACCTGACCTGAAGTTATTTAGAGTAACTCGAACGACTCGAATTCAACATGATTTGATCCAAATTTCATATTTCGTATTAATATTAGTTTTACATTATTTTTAATAGTTTTTAAACACAAGCCGACCTAAAATCTGACCCCGAACTCGACCGCGAGGAGCAGCTAACTTGAATTGTCACCCCTAATCTAAGAGGGTAAAAAGAAAAGGTGTATGTCAAGTATCAAGTGTGATTCTCCAAAGTAGGTAGTAACGCGGTTACGCCAACGGTGGCTCTCGGTGGTGCCGTCGTCCGCAGATCTACTCAGGCACTTCCGCCTCTCCATTGGCTTCTTCATTGTCAAGATTTGTTGACAGAAAACTGATTCTCTAATCTCCGCCGAATTTCAACCTCTAGGTATCACATTCATTACTCAATTTTTTTATTCTAATTTTCATTTGATTCATTTCAATATCAATTGATGTATGAATCCAGAAATCAACAAAATTAGGTCGAAATTTTCATACTAATCGAGCTATTTAATTGACTCATAATCAATTAGATTGATAGATTAATCGATTTCGCGGTGTTCAGATTTTGAATTTGCTGAGTTTCCGGAATAAATTGATGAAGTGTTGAATAATTTACAGATTTTTGCAATGGCTGAGAAACGCATTGTCAATTCAAAATACATGTACATTCATGAGGCTGGAAAATGGCCTTCACAAACAATTGATGTTCATCATGTAATTATCAGGAAAAATCGTCGATGGATTATGCTTGCTTGCTTCTCAGCTGTTGTTTTACTGTTAAATGCCTTGTATCTTATACTAGCACAGGTATGATGCTGTATTTTTCGAGCTACGTCGCTTCGTGTTTCTTTAATTGTCAACTTGTTGTGCAATTTTTAGTCTATGTTGGACTAAGATTGGATTGTAATTAAAGATTTTGAATTGATTTCCGGTTTTGTTGCAGGATATGCTTGTTTCTGTTCTTCTATTGTACTTGATTACTGGTGTGGTCGTATTCAGATTATTGCGTAAGAATATTGTTGAGAAAGGTGAGGGAACTGAGGATGCACTCGATTTTTGTTCTTTTGGTTGCTTTCTGTGAATTGCACCCTTAGATTGCATTATCCCATATGGGATTGATATATTTGCTCGAAATACTAGACGAGTTTCATTTATTGAAGCGAATTGACATATTGACAGGAGTAGTATAAGTTTTGTTGTTCTGCTTCTTTGAAATGCTGCATGTTACTTGTGTTGGGTATGTGAATCCTGCAAAGAAAATAATGTTGTTTTAGAGAATGCTGCTTCTATCTGATGTCTGAAGTTCTGGAAGGACATTTTCCGTAATTTACAGGTTCTTAAAGATTAACTTTTCTTCTAACTTCCATCTTCTTATGTGGCAGAGTCTGTCGTGATCATTCCATCATTTGGAGTCCAACTTGAAACCCATTATAGAAGGTACTTTCCTGACTTAACACAGATTATATGAAGTTGTGTAATCAACATTATGTTAAGAGGATGAGGTCTTGAAAAAGTCTAGAATATAATCTTTAATTTGATGAAATTCATACAGGATAATCAAGTTCACACAGTATGTAGACTGAAATTATGTTGGATCATATTTTATTTTCCTGTAATTGGACAATACTTTGCATGGTAATGACTAGTGAGACAGTATAAGCTTGGTCCGCTTAGCAGAGGGCAAATAAATGAAAAAGGTTGCAATGTGCAGATTAGACTAGATTTCTACCTAAATCTGTATTTTGAAATTAGACGTAATACTGATGAAATTACTTATTACATCGCATTATCTTGTGCTGTAGCTGTTAACATTTTTGGCTGAATCTTATGTAGCTTGAACTTTACTTCTTTTGTTTTTTATCTGTCTTCATATTTTTTTTTTCCTGTTTTTGCTCATAGTGGGAGAGCTGTCCGTTGCTTTGTCCCCATTGACAAGATATTGAAGCCTATTCTGAATGAATGTGTGACTCCAGTGACATGTTATTGGAGCTTGGCATTACTTTTACGTGAAGAAGATGAATTGATGTTAGTCTTTAAGGTATGCTATATCTGGCCTCTCGCTCATTCTTTAGCTTTAGTGATGGAAAATCTCTGAATACTATCTGTGCATGTAGTATTGTTTCTTGAGTGCCACTTATTGTTGCTCTACTTTGCCAGACATTGCAACCCCCGCTTAAGATGTTGCTGCCAATTTGGAAGGCGCTTTGTGCTGCTTCAGATTCCAGTGACCGTTTAGGGACAAAATCAGACTCCCAGGGCTGAATTTTTTGTAAGGTTTGAAATGTGAAATCATATAGGTCTTTGTGTGCCAATGAATTCTACAATCTAAGGCTACATAGGTTGTGGAGCCACAGGGGAGGGTGTCAGGCTGTTGGGGAACCCTTGATGAACCATTGAATGGGATCCCTATCAAAGTGCCATAGAGTTAGCAGATGGGAGACTGCTCCCCTCTCCATTTTGCCATTTCCTCTGGAAATCTTGACTAAGAAACCTTTGGGAGCCGTTTCCAGTTTCACAAGAGTATCTTAAGCTTTGTAAAGGAAATCACACCCAACCGTTAGCTGCCTATGGAGAGTTCAAATGACACCCAGATCGAGTTCAAATGACACCCAGATCGATTCAAACGAAGTTGATTTCAGGCTGTTGAGTTTTGTTTTGATGCTACATCTTGAGGTGCTTAGCAGTTTATTTTTAGGATGACTAGATGAGCAGCTTAGTCATATGTTCTTTGAATAGTCAATCTATTCTTTTATATCAAGAGCGATGCTCCCTTATTTAATTAGGCGTTGAAGGTTGTAGTATATACTATATAGATTAAGAAGTTTTTCATTCCGTATGCTTAGAATTAGAGGAGGTTGGTTAATTAATCTTTTTGTTTCAGCTTTTCATTAGTAACATAAATGGCAAAAAACATGGATGCACAGATATTATGCAAATTTGTACTTCGTACTTGATACTGTGGAATAATTGATTACTTTCTAAGATTGAACAAATGCTGCATTTTTTGCTTAATTAATCTTTTGTCATCACTCCAAAAACTAACAAGATCTTAAATAAATAAATAAATAAAATGGGTGGAAATAAAAAGTTATTTTATTCAACCTTAAAAAGAGAAGAAGGTGCAAATGTGCAATTAGTAGAGATGTCAATTCGGGTAAACGGGTTGGGTTTGGGTCGGGTCGGGTCACTTTAGATTAATTCCACAACCTATGCATGTCGGTTTTGGGTTGACTCATGCTTGAGTCGGGTCATACTTCTTGTCGGGTTTGGGTCGGGTTTAGGTTGGGTTAATAACAGGCCGGGTTACATTCGGGTCGGGTGATCAATAGGTCGGGCTTAATTTGGGTTCTCACGGGTTAAAACGGGTTAGGGTAGTTCTCGGGTTCAAGTCGGGTTCGGTTTAAATCAATAATTTGCGGGTTAGAATCAGGTCAGGTCATTCCCGGGTTTGAGTCGGGTTCGGTTCAAGTCAATAACTTGCGAATTATAATCAGGTCGAGTCATTTTCAAGTCGGTTCATTCTCGAGTTCAAGTCAGGTTCGGTTCAAGTCAATAATTTGCGGGTTATAATCAGATTGGGTCATTTTCAAGCCGGGTCATTCTCAAATTCAAGCCGGGTTATGTTTAAGTCAATAATTTGCAGGTTACAATCAGGTCAGGTCATTTCCAAGTCAGGTCATGTTCGGGTTCAACTAACTATAAATAGATAATTATCATTTTTATCAAGGTAATTATTTCCTTTGACTATAATATATATGGCAATATACTAGGGAACTATAGTCTATAATTTAAGAAGATAATTATCTCCTTTGACCATATAACAAATATATACTATATTTAACTCTTAAATTTGAGGATGATGCTCCTTTCTTTTGCTGCCTGGCCCGACTTGGTCTCCATAGACAAAATGCTTAGATCAACAATAATAAGGTGGTCTAAATTGCATTTAGGGTGATTTGAAATCGGGTAAAGAACAATTTGGGTTGAATTTAGGTTGGGTCAATAACAAGTCGTGTTAATTTCGAGTCAGTTTAGTAACAGATGCAGTTGAATTTTTGGGTTGGGTAAGTAATAGGTATGGTAAAATTCAGGTCGGGTCAATAACAAGTCGGGTTGAATTTGGGTCAGGTCAATAACAAATCGGGTTGATTTCGGGTCGGGTTTGTAACAGGTTGGGTTAAATTCTGGTCGGGTTAGGAACAGGTGGGGTTGAATTCAGGTCAGGTTAGTAACAATTAAGTCGGGTTAAATTCGGGTTTTAACGGGTTAAAACGGGTTTGGGTCAATTTCGGTTCGAGTCGGGTTCGGTGCAAGCTAATCAAATTGCCCGTTGTAAACCGATAAATTGGTGAAAATTGTAAACCAGTAAATTGGCAGTTTAAAAGCAAATTAAATGGTTCCACACTTCCACACACCCAATTAGACTCCCGAAGGATATAAGGGACCATGGTAAACATTTCGGCAATTTTTATTTCCGGGCGAAAAAAAGTCAAAAAATTCCATTGAAGGCTAATATCCACGCTTTTTGAGAAATTTAAGAGGTTTCGGGGCCCGGTGTCGAAAAGTCTTGAAATTCAATGGGATATATCTCGCGGTCATATATGCCGTTTGGAACCATATATGATCATTATTTGTTGTCATAAATGTTCGTGGTAGGCTTGAATTAATGAAATCGGTGCAAATTGTAAACTGGTAAATTGATCGTTTAAAGGCAAATTGGATGGTTCCACCCACCCAATTGGACTCCCGAAGAGTATTAGGGACCATGGTAAACATTTCGGCAAATTTTATTTTCGGGCAAAAAAAATAAAAATAAAAAATCAAAATTGAAGGCTAATATCCACGCTTTTTGAGAAATTTTGGAGGTTTCAGGCCCAATGTAGAAAAGTATTAATATTTTAGGGGATACATCTCGGGGTCATATTATGTCGTTTGGAAACATATATGATCATTATATGTTGTCAGAAATATTCGTAGTAGGCTTGAGTTAATGAAATCCGTGCTAGTTGTAAACCAGTAATTAAATTGGCCGCTTAAAGACAAATTGGATGGTTCCACCAACCTTATTGTACTCCCGGATGGTATTAGAGACCATGGTAAACATTTCGACAATTTTAATTTTCGGGCGTAAAAAAGTCAAAAAATTCGAAAATTGAAGACTAATATCTTCGCTTTTTGAGAAATTTTGTAGGTTTCGGGGCCTGGCGGCGAAAAGCCTTAAAATTTTAAGGGATACATCTTCATGGTCATATATGCCGTTTGGAACCATATATGATCATTATTTGTTGTCATAAATGTTCGTGGTAGGCTTGAATTAATGAAATCAGTGCAAATTATAAATCGGTAAGTTGGTCGTTTAAAGGCAAATTGGATAGTTCCACCAACCCAATGGGACTCCTAAATGGTATAAGGGACCATGGTAAATATTTCGACAATTTTTATTTTCGGGCGAAAAAAAAGTCAAAAATTTCAAAATTGAAGGCTAATATCCACGCTTTTGAGAAATTTTGGAGGATTCGGGGTCCGGTGTCGAAAAGTCTTGAAATTTTAGGGGGTACATATCGGGGTCATTTAATGCCGTTTGGAACCATATATGATAATTATTTGTTGTCATAAATGTTCGCGGTAGGATTGAGTTAATGAAATCGGTGCAAGTTATAAACCGGTAAATAGGCCGCTTAAAGGCGTATTGGATGGTTCCTCCCACTCAATTGGACTCCTAAAGGATATTAGGGACCATGGTAAACATTTCGACAATTATTATTTCCGGGCGAAATAAAGTTTAAAAATTCCAAAATTTAAAGGCTAATTTAAAGGCTCGGTGTCGAAAAGCCTTGAAATTTTAGAATTACATCTTAGGGTTATATAATGCCGTTTGGAACCATATATGATCATTATATGTATGTTGTCATAAATGTGTGTGGTAAGCTTGAGTTAATGAAATAGGTGCAAGTTGTAAATCGGTAAATAGGTCGTTTATTGGCAAATTGAATGGTTTCACCCACACAATTGAATTCTCGGAGGGTATTAGGAACCATGGTAAACATTTTGGAAATTTTTATTTATGAGCGAAAAAAAGTCAAAAAATTTAAAAATTGTATGCTTAATATCCACACTTTTTGAGAAATTTTGAAGTCTTCGAGGTTCGTTGTCTAAAAGTCCCAAAATTCTAAGGAATACATCTCAGGGTCATATAATGTCGTTTGGAACCATATGTGATCATTATTTATTGTCATAAATGTTTATTGTAGGGTTGAGTTAATGAAATTCGTGCAAGTTGTAAACAGGTCAATTGGTCCTTTAATGGCAAATTGGATGGTTCCCACCACCCAATTGGACCCCCGGAGGATATTAGGGACCATGGTAAACATTTCGGCAATCTTTATTTTCGAGCGAAAAAAATTCAAATTTTTTTAAATTGAAGGCTAATATCCACGCTTTTTGAGAAATTTCGAAGGTTTCGGGGCCAGGTGTCGAAAATAAATGACATTTTATTAAATACATCTCGGGGTTATATATTGAAGTTTGAAACCATAAATGACCATTATATGTTGTCATAATTTTTTGTGGTACGCTTGAGTTAATGAAATCATTGCAAGTTATAAACAGGTAAATTAAATTAGCTGTTAAAAAGCAAATTGGATGGTTCTACCCACCCAATTGGACTCTCAGAAGGTATTAGAGACCATGGTAAACATTTTGGCAATTTTTATTTCCGAATGAAAAAAAGGTCAAAAATTTCCGAAATTGAAGGCTAATATCCACTTTTTTGAGAAATTTTGTCAGGACCCCGTGTCGAAAAAACTTGAGATTTTAGAAGATACATATCAGGGTCATATAATGCCATTTGGAGCAATATATGAACAATATATGTAGTCATAAATGTTCATGGTAGGCTTGAATTAATGAGATCAGTGCAAGTTGTAAATTGATAAATTGGCCGTTTAAAGGCAAATTGGATGGTTCCACTTACCCAATTGTAATCAAAGATGGTATTAAAGAGAATGGTAAATATTTCGTCAATTTTTATTTCCGAGCGAAAAAATGTCAAAAATTCCAAAATTAAAGGCTAATATCCACGCTTTTTGAGAAATTTCGGAGGTTTCAGGGCCCGGTGTGGAAAAGGCTAGAGATATTAGGGGATACATCTTGGGGTCATATAATGCCGTATGGAACCGTATATGATCATTATATGTTGTCATAAATGTTTATTGTAGGTTTGAATTAATGAAATCGGTGCAATTTGTAAATCGGTAAATTGGCCGTTAAAAGGAAAATTGGATGGTTCCAGCCACCCAATTGCACTCTCAGAGGGTATTAGGGACCATGTTAAACATTTAGGAAATTTTTATATCCGAGCGAAAAAAAGTAAAAAAATTCAAAACTTCAAGTCTAATATCCACGCTTTTTGAGAAATTTTGAAGTTTTCGGGTACGGTGTCTAAAAGTCTTGAGATTCTAAGGAATACATCTCGGGGTCATATAATGTCGTTTGGAACCATATGTGATCATTATTTGTTGTCATAAATGTATATTGTAGGCTTGATTTAATGAAATCGGTGCAAGTTGTAAACCGATAAATTGGTCGTTTAATGGCAAATTGGATGGTTCCAACCACCCAATTGGACCCCCGGAGTGTATTAGGGACCATGGTAAATATTTCGGAAATTTTTATTTTCGGGCGAAAAAAATTCAAAAATTCTTAAATTGAAGGCTAATATCCACGCTTTTTGAGAAATTTCGAAGCTTTAAGGGCTAGGTGTCGAAAAGAAATGAGATTTTATTATACACATCTCGGGTTCATATAATAACGTTTAAAACCATAAATGACCATTATATGTTGTCATAAAAGTTCGTAGTACGCTTGAGTTAATGAAATCGGTGCAAATTGTAAACCGGTAAATTAGCCGTTAAAAGGCAAATTGGATGGTTCCACCCACCCAACTGGACTCTCAGAGGGTATTAGGGACCATGGTGAACATTTCGGCAATTTTTATTTCCGAGCGAAAAAAAGTCATAAAGTTCCAAAATTGAAGGCTAATATACACGCTTTTTGAGAAATTTTTGAGGTTTCGGGGCCCGGTGTCGAAAAGGCTTGAGATTTTAGGAGATACATCTCGGGATCAAATAATGACATTTGGAGCCATATATGATCATTATATGTTGTCATAAATGTTCAAGGTAGGCTTGAATTAATAAAATCGGTGCATTTTGTAAATCGGTAAATTTGTCGTTTAAAGGCAAATTGGATAGTTCCACTCACCCAATTTGACTCCAAGAGGGTATTAGGGACCATGGTAAACGTTTCGTCAATTTTTTTTTCGGGCGGAAAAAACTCATAAATTCCAAAATTAAAGGCTAATATCCATACTTTTTGAGAAATTTTGGAGGTTTCGAGGCCCTGTGTCGAAAAGGCTTGAGATTTTAGGGGATATATCTCGTGTTCATATAATGCCGTTTGGAACCAGATATGATCATTATATGTTGTAACACCCCAATAATTCTCCCATTTCCAAACCACTTACTTTAAATAAAAATAGAGGAGAACCATTGGCATGTTACCGCCACGTGTTAAAACGTTAAGGCTTTATCAAAGTATTGCAGCGGAAATCTAACTTAAATATTAAAATAATATAATTTAGAAAACCAATAAGTCAAAGCTTACAAATTGGAACCATAAAGGCCCTTCTTTAAAACCAAATCAATATTCAAAATCCTAAAACATAAATGAAATAGCAAAACATAAATAAGTTCAACACAAAGACGAGGTTTAATTTAATTTAATTAATTTAGTTTGGAGTAAGCAATAGACGAGGTTGTCCAATCCACCAAATCATTTTGGTCCCAACTGACCATTTAAAATAAAAGTTTAGCGTGATACAAGAATGGGCGCGACTACATTCTCACAAAGTTAGTCTAGGATCCCATCTAACTTTCATTATAAAATAAAAATGTAAATACCAAAAGAAAAGAAGACAAGTTGATCAAACAAGCCTCGGAAAGCCACGGGCTACCACCGTAACCCATAATTGTCAATACTCTAGAAGTGCACGCTTTCCAGAGTTTTATTGCTCCTCCATGTTTCACTTTACGTTATTACAATTTTAATTAATAGCCGACTCAATCAAGAATACCATACATAACAATCATACATCAATTCACTTTTAATCTTATTTAGGACAATGGTGATCACATCACAAGTTGACCTTTAATTCCATTAAACTTCCAAATTATTCAAAATTGTTGAACATAGTCAACCCACGTAGCCATTTCGGCTTAATCCACCTTTACTCAACATACTAACAAGTCATGATTGAGTAATAAATAAATAAATAACAACCTTGTGGAATAATTAATAAATTCATTCCACTTAAACCATTCAATTTCAATCCTTTAATAATCCAAATGTGGTTAACAAACCGATCCAATAAAAATATGCTTGTATCAACATTCCATACAAACAATTAATCCAATATAATTCAACATGTTTGCATCCATAATTCCATACAAACATAATCAATTCACCAAAACATGTCTCATAAACATAAGCACGTGAATTAATTAAATGTATAACCAAACAATTTTCATCCAAGTGGTCTCTAATCATGAAACTAAGTTCTTTTCTTTGGTACCTAAACATAATACTACTTACAACGAAATAGACATGTACGTACCTCGTATAAACAATCCTTTGTGCCACTTTTAATCACTTAAAAGTCTCCTAAGAAATAATCACTTCCTAGAAAACAACCAACAACAATAAATTAATACTTAACCAAATTTCCAGCATTATAATTTAGACTAAAACTCCTTAAAACTTCATCAAAAACATGTTTTTATGCTTAATTAATCAAGAGAAATCTAATAGGAACAAAAGCCCCAATTTAATTAGTCATAAGAACCCTAAAATCCCAATTTAAATAAATTGAAACCCTAGGTTTTAAAATTATAAAATCTGAAAATTATAACAACAATTATAATCTGAAATTATAGGTTTAAGCTATCAAAAACATGATTTTAATACTAAAAATATAAATTTTATACTATAAAATCAAAACCCAAAACTAATTAATCAAACATTAAGCATAAATGAAATAAAACAAAGGAGAGAGAGAGGGGCGGCCATGGTGGGCCGTGGTGGGTCGTCGGCGGTGGTGGCGGGCAGCAGGCGGCAGTTGGTGATGAGTGAGGATTTCCTCACGTGAAGGAGGAGAAAAGGGAAAGAAGAAAAAAAAAGGAAAAGAAAAAGGAAAAAGAAGGGAAAAAAATAAAAGAAAAGAAAAATAAAGGGAAAAATAAGAGAAATAAAATAAAGAGAAGAGAGTTTACTAACCTTTTTGTGTGGGGAAAAATTTGGGGATGTATGGGGTATTTATAGGAGAGAGAGTGGTGTAGGGTAAATTGTAAGATTGTGCCTCATAAAATTAATGGGCCAATCAAGTATGTAAAGTGAGATTGACTTTGATTGTTTGGACCTAAATATAGAATGAAGGTATGTATAAAAATTTGTACCAAAATAATTTTCGACCCAAAATTAAAAATTGAAACTTTTGAAATTAAATTCCGGAAAAATACAAATAAATATTATAAATAATATATAATTTCATTTATAATATATTTTAAAAATATGGGGGATTACATATGTTGTCATAAATGTTCTTGGTAGGCTTGAATTAATGAAATCGGTGCAAGTTGTAAATCGGTAAATTGGTCGTTTAAAGGCAAATTGGATGGTTCCACCTTACCAATTAGACTCCTAGTGGATATAAGAGACCATGGTAAACGTTTCGCCATTTTTTATTTCTGGGCAAAAAAAAGTCAAAACATTCCAAAATTGAAGGCCATCCACACTTTTTTAGAAATTTTGGAGGTTTCGGGGCCTGGTGTCGAAAAGGTTTGAGATTTTAGGAGATATATCTCGGGGTCATATAATGTCGTTTGGAACCATATATGATCATTATATGTTGTCATAAATGTTCGTGGTGGGCTTGGATTAATTAAATTGGTGCAAGTTGTAAGTCGGGAAATTGGCCGTTAGAAGGAAAATTGGATGGTTCCACCCACCCAATTTGATCCCTAGAGGGTATTAGGGACCTTGATAAACATTTCGGCAATTTTTATTTCCAGGTGAAAAAAAAAGTTAAAAAATTCCAAAATTGTAGGCTAATATCCACGTTTTTTGAGAATTTTTGGAGATTTCTGGTAGAGTTGTCAATTCGGGTTAATGGGTCCGTTTTGGGTCGGAAGAGTGGGTCGGGTAAAATCAGGTAGGGTCAATTCGGATTAGTTCCATAATCTATGTGGGTCGGGTTTGGGTTAGGTTAGGTCGGGTTAATAACAGGTCGGGTTACATTCGGGTCGGATGAACAATAGGTTGAGTTTAATTCGGGTTAAAACGGGTTAGGGAAATTCTCGCGGGTTCGAATCCTGTTCGATTCAAGTCAATAATTTGCGGGATAGAATCAAGTCAGGTCATTCTCGAGTTTAAGTCAGGTTCGGTTCAAGTCAATAATTTGCGAGTTATAATCAGGTCAGGTCATTTTCAAGTCGGGTCATTCTCGGGTTCAAGTAGGGTTCGGTTCAAGTCAATAATTTGCGGGTTATAATCAGGTTGGGTCATTTTCGATCAAGTCGGGTCATTCTCGGAGTCAAGTCGGGTTATGTTCAAGTCAATAATTTGTAGGTTACAATCAGGTTGGGTCATTTCCAAGTCAGGTCATATTCGGGTTCAACTAACTATAAATAGATAATTATCATTATCAAGCTAATTATTTCCTTTGACTATAATATATATGACAATATACTAGGGAACTATAGTTTATAATTATTTAGGAAGATAATTATTTCCTTTGACCATAAAACAAATATATACTATATTTAACCCTTAAATTTGAGGATGATGCTTCTTTCTTTTGCTAGCCTGGACCGACTTGGTCTCCCTGGAAAAAATGCTTTGATCAACAATAATAAGGTGGTCTAATTTGCATTTAAAGGTAATTTGAAATCGTGTCATGAACAATTTGGGTTGAATTTAGGTCGGGTCAATAACATGTCGTGTTGATTTCGAGTCGGATTAATAACAGATCGGGTTGAATTTTTATGTCGGGTTAAGAATAGGTCTGGTAAAATTCGGGTCGGGTCAATAACAAGTCGGGTTGAATTTCGGATCATATCAGGTTTGTAACATGTTGTGTTAAATACGGGTCGGGTTAGGAACGGGTCGGGTTGAATTCAGGTTAGGTTAGTAACAAGTTGGGTTAAATTCGGGTTTGGGCCAATTTCGGTTCAAGTCGGTTCGGTTCAGGTCAATAATTTACGGGTTACATTCGGGTTGGTCATCTCCAGGTTAGTTCATGTTCGGGTTCGGGTCTCACATATTCGGTTCAACTCGGGTCTAGGGTTGGTTTAGGTCGGGTTTAGGTCACCATTTTTTCGGGTTCAGAAGAGTTGGTTAATAATCGGATTTGAGTCGGTATTTTGGGTCGGGTCAACTTTTGACAACTCTAGCAATCAGTATGAACAAGTCAAGCAAAGTAACCTACAACCTCAAAAGGCTTCTTCAGTACTCTTTAGTTTATTCAACCCTTTTAGCTTGAACAGAAAGGAGAAGATAGATTCTATAAATCACCTAACTTTCTTCCTTAGAACTCACAATACAAGTATATCAGTGCAAAAATATATCTTTCATACTCAACCCATGACTTGTACACAAGCTAAACCGGAAGACAGGCTTAGTGCTTTGCCTGACTCACTTCTTTGCCACATCCTGTCTTTTCTCCCTACAAATGAAGCCGTCCAAACTGTCTTAATCCGAAGATTCGGCACCCTGTGGACTTCCCTTCAAAATATCGACTTTGATGATGACTTGCTCTCTCACTTGTGGGCAGACGAGGATATTAATTCAGGTTTCTTAAGGTTTGTCCACAAGGCGCTAACACTCCATCAGAGGCCTACAGTCGACAGGTTCAGAGTTAACATTTCGACCATGTTATATGAAGATATAACATCATTCCAATCTGTGAATTGGGGACGTGAAATAGATTCTTGGTTAGATTTCGCTCTAAAGAAACAAGTCAAGTTCCTAGAATTTGGGTTCGGAATGGTTGAACCTGTTAATGAGGTCTATAAGTTGCCTTTCATAGAGTTCATTAGTGATTCTCTGGTCGAGCTGAAGCTGGTGTTCATCGAAATGAAACTTCAGAAGCGAGTAAAAATGGGGTCACTTAGAGTTCTGAAACTTGAATATATGAGTCTGAATAATGATGTTTTCAAAGAAATCATTCAAGGTTGTCCTTTGCTCAAAGAAATAGAGATATCTAACTGTTTGGACTCTCGCGATTTCACTGAAATCAATGCCCCAAATTTAGATATATTGAAGCTTGATAGAGAAGTAGTTGCAGGTTCAGAGGAGATTATGAAGATCAATTGCCCAAAATTGTCATCGTTTAACTACAGTGGATGTGTGGATGGACTGGAGATTGTGAACCTTTCGTCTGTTGCTGAACTTTCCTTTCGTTTGACGCTTAACATTTCAGCAACAAGCTTCAAAGAGTTCACCGGGTTTCAATCTGCTCTAACCAAACTTCTGCATGTCAAGAATGTAACTTTATCAGATACATTTGTCACGGTACCGACATTGATACTCAGTTCATTTCTGTTTCTTATACTGTATTTCCTAATGATATCTTATGTTCTTTGGTTTCTTTTTTAGGTGTTGTTCTATTGCATTCTAAAATGCAATCTTCAGGAAATTGTTCATTGGAAGCGAGTGGATCTAAAAATTAGGTTGAATGATAAGCACATCCTTGGTCTCAGTCATTTGTCAAGGAAATCGCCTTACTTGGAGGAACTTGCCTTGACTGTCATCCCATCATGGAATTCTGATTTACTACTCAAGGTGTGATTCATTTACCTTTACAATAGCTCTAGCTTCCCTTAAAATCTTAAAATTGCTTCTTTAATTTATAACAAATTCTTTCACTGCAGAATGTAGATTTAGAACTCGAAAGTTGCAACCCGGGTAAGGAAGAAGTGTACTGCTGGAGCTCTCTTAAAACCATTGTCATTCATAACATTTCAATGAGTTTGCATCCTGTCGTGGTTCTCTTGGTTTAGATTCTGCTCAGGAGTTCACCAGTGTTAAATGAAATGGTGATCTACTACAAGGCCAGCAATGAATCCTCAGCGATGCTGACATCAGAACAATTGTCAGAATTTTCTGAGAAGCTGCCAACATTCAGAAAAGCCTCCCGAACAGCAAAAGTTATTCTAATGTGAGAAATTGAACGGTAAATTGCTGCATACTGTATGCTGTAACAAACCTTTTATCCAAGGAATCATTTTCTCGTAATATATGCACTTCCCGTTCTGCATTCAAAAAAAAGAAAAAGAGAGAGATAGAAAGATTGTTTGATGAATTCTATCTTCATCCTTTATTCTTTAATTGTTGTACCGTCAATGAATGGCCACATTATTACATCATATACAGGTTTGAAAGAACGAAAGAACAGTATACTCTCTCCATATATACAAAGGGAGTACTCAGCTATTATTGCTTTAATCGCCAAAGAACAATTATTTTTGTAAAAAAAAAAAAATTATACAAAAGAAAATGCAAAAAACTACTAGAGAACAAATAGGTGTGAAGACAATAAAGAAAAACCTTATACCACCACCATTGTACAATTTGTATATCAGCAAGCTCAGTTTTTCAGTCACAGCCTCTTACCATATCAAGTCTACGTTTGGCACGATCAAGAGTAATCTCTTTCCTGCGGAGTCCATGCCATGTATTCTTAGAATATTCATGCCAGGATCCAAGCTGTAGAATTCCCTTGTGTAATGCCTTCAGATTCACCAGAGGCACTGTTGTTGGCCTTCCATGAGCACACTACAATATAAAACTGTCAAGCAAACTCGGGCTGAATCTACATTACACTACCTAGAGATTCCCATGGTTTTGAAGCTTACTTGAAAACATAATGAAGTTTGCTTCAGCTCTTCAACGATGAGGGAACATTCAGATGGCATGAGTTTGTCCCCAAACATAATAGCACCTTCAGAATGAAAATAAGATAATGTTGATAAAGAATATTGGCAGCAAGGAGTAGCCCAATCACAAATTTCAAGTAAAAGGAACATGTATGAGTCAAGTAATTACATCATGTTAATTGTCAACTTCGGTAGTATAACTTATTTCCTCTGTTTTTTTAGTTGACACACTAATTATGACACGTTTGTCTACTCACGATTTTAACAATTAATATCTCTAAATAATAACATGTAAAAATTCTAAGTTAATATTAATAAAATTTACATAGAGACGATTCAAATAAGAACCCACATGACCATGTTTTATCATAGCTATAAATCACAAAAGCGAGTCAAAGTAAATTTTGTGAATAGTGTCGAAAGTCAAAACGCGTCAACTTAAGAAAACGGAGGGAAGTATAAATTGAAGTAAATCATTCAGGACTTCCATAAAACATAAGCCAGGTTCCAATTAGAACTTGCAAGGTGGACAGCATAAAAGACACGACTTTCTATCCAATTTCAGCCAGGCATAGAAAAGGCAAAACAGAAGCATACAAAACTTTTCAAATCCAGAATAGAATTCATGTAAGAAATAATCAAGTCATAAATTCAGAATGCAGTGCTGCAAAAGAGAAAACAAATGAGGGAGCGACACAAAGATTAAGATTATACCCCTGCATGCTTTGTAGTTTAGGATTCGAACTACAGATGGTGGAATGATTGATGATCCATCAGTATCAGCAAGCTGTTGCAAATGTATAAAACAGAGAAAAGATAATTATCTTGGACAAAACATTCATTGACCTAATAGATGGATATAGCTAGCTTAAAAATTGAGGTCAGACTTACTTGTTCAAGAAATTCAACTAAATCTTTATCAGACAAGTTTACACCCAAAATACATGGTACCTAACAACAACAAATAAAACAGAATTGACAATTATTAAATTAACCTAGTATCCATGTCTCAAGGGAAAAAAGAGATCACAGACTAGAAAGCACCAGAAGCAACTTCCTCTACTAAATGTATATCAAGCACTCTTTAAATTTGATTTCAACATAAAAGAAACTTTAGGTGCTGTTTTTCTACTGGAAGTCAAGAATAGCGAGCGGAGGGATTAGTATGATTACCGCAATAAGTGTGAGATCAGATGCCCGCCCATTTAGAAGACTCAGATTCCTGCAAAATTGGATTAGTAGTTTAGTACAGCACCAAAAGTATATTGCAGTGAGAATATATGGACTGTATTTTGTTGTAATTTGGAATAGTTAATGACTAAGAGCATAATGAGATAATTTTAGATTGAAAAATAGCTAACAAGAAACTTAGATTCTAGTGCGTTTTACTGTTCCAAGCACAAGTCTTTCCTAAATAAGTTGGACTTTAATTCATATCTTGCTTCTTTAACAACCCCCCCCCCCCCCCCCACTCTCCCTCCCTCCCTCTCTCCTCCCAAGAGTTTGTTTGCAAGCTTGAACCTATATCTCTGTTCTAAAATTTTACAGCAGCCTGAAAAATATATCTAAACTTTACAGATATAGAAATAAAAGCCTTAGTCACTCGAGTATGAGTAAACTTGCTTCATTATGTCTCCTGTATGAGAGGTGTGTGCTATGTATGCATGAATATGCGTGTGTGACTCTGCTGGACATGTATGTGTGTCAGCAAATTACTGTGCATGCTTGTTTTTTAAGACTAAAGCAATCACTGATAAATTCATTTCAGTGCACATGCTGGCATGCATGAATATACGAGTATAAGTGCAAGAAAGAGATTTAAGAGAGAGAGAGAGAGAGAGAGAGAGAGAGAGAGAGAGAGAGAGAGAGGCATTTAAAGCAGAAAACTTACTTTGTGAATGATCCAGAATCCATAGAGAAAATGTTACATATCCATCCCCAGTGTTTTATGTGCTCCGCGTAATTGCACAGTAACTGGTAGGCCATTTCAGGCAAAACCTACAATGAAAGCTTCTGTAAAATTAAGATTTTAAGATGTATATAAAGAGAGGTGTTGTATCTCCACCATTCACCACCCCTCTCCAGCAGAGTTTCCATCATACCAAGTCTTTCTCTTTTTCCAGATAGTTTATTGACTTCAATTCACCGGAAAGCACCTGAGATCAGCCATTTAGCTATAAGCATGTAATGTCTTCAAAACTTCAATACCACACAACACCCCTCCCTCCCATTCCCACCCCCACAAAAAAGGCAAAAAAATAGTCTGCAACAATACCTTGCGACGTATTTCTTCAAGTCGAATTCTCTCATCCGCAGCATGCTGAAAAAGAGTTCATCATTAGGTCAGATCAGATCCAATCACATGCTTCAAGGCATTGATGTGCAAAACAAAGTTATCACATTAAAATAAAGTAGCAAAATCAATTTCTTAACAAAGTATTCAAACACAAGAGGGTTCCATCCTCGTATAAAATATGTAAAGAAACAACCAGCATAAGTGCAGACCTGGTCAATTACTGCTAAAGTTCCATTTGCCACAACTGGAATGAATTTACTATCAATCTGCACAAGCACCTTGGCATTCTGCAAGCCATTTCTATTGATAGATTTTGGAACTAATGAATCACCAGCAAGCTCAAGCATAGAGGACTGAACATCCAGTATATCACTTTCAGCTTTAAGGTCAATTAACCTATTTCCAGCCTGTAGCAGCAATTTATTTTTATTTTTTTTAAAAAGTACTTAGAAACGGATAAAAATATTTGCAGTACAAGATAACTTATAATTTCTTATTAGCTTACTCTTAGATTATTAGCAACCTCCTTTGATCTAGGATCTGGACAGCCTTCTCGCCACTTGAAATTTGAGGTTTCAGAATCCTGAAAGTCCTTAAAGCAGCCTACAGCATTCAGATAGTGAGCTTTCCAAATTTAAACATGGCAAAGAATTATAGCACTACTTCAGTGGTTGGAATGACAAGTAAGAATTATAGCACTAGTTATGGCTTTTCCCGCTCTTGTGAATCAAATAAATAGTAAAAGCTAAGTCAAAAGTCTTGTCACTGACTTAATCAATCAAAAATGAAAAGCCAGAAGACAATACCCACATCCTCCTCATCATTTCGTAAACAGGTGCATAAGATACACAGATTTAAGAAACATTGCTCCAAAATATTATTTGTCAGGTTGTCACATGAATGCAGAAGTGTAAATCTATCATATAATTCATATACTGCAATTAGAGCCCATCACCGATGGAAATCAGAAGGGGAGCCTAATTTCAAAAGTCTCAAAAGACTAGGCTATTTGATCTCATCAAAAGGGACTTTACAGCTAAAATTTATGTTGATTTTTCATATAAATAAAGCACCCCTTATCCTCTGTAAAACTAATACTCATTAGTCTCCCTTAGTCCCAATAAGTAGGTTTCACATTACTGTTCAGGAATATCCCATTACCACTTTCTTCAAGCTAGTTTGGAAGTTGGGTGTGGATCTTTTGTCAAAGGGGAATGAACCTAATTTTTTCTACATGTTATTCTAACATTGTCTCTTCAATGATTGGCTACTTGAGGTAATATTTTGTATGTGCAATAGATAGTTAAGGCATGGGAAACAGTGTTCCAATCAATGCCAATCATGTACTCCCTCCGTTTTTTATAAATGCATCACTAGCATTTACACGGAGTTTAGGAGAGCTTATTTGCTTTAGTATTATATTGTGCAAGTGGGGCAAAGAGAGGATTAGTTAAATTTATTAAAAGTAAAATGTGAACCATGAAAGAGAGCATGAGAGAGAGAGAGAGTAGTTTTAAAATCATTTAAGTAGGGACCATGAAAGAGAGAGAAATGATAAAATATTTTGAGTGGGTTTTAAGGAAGAGAGAGAGAAATAATAAAATATGGTATAAAGCTACAACAAAAAGAATTAAAGAAGTGATGCAACACCCAAAAGTAGCAAGTGATGCATTTAAAAAATATAAAAATAAAAAACGTAGAGGGAATAGAATTCTTAACCGTCTTTCAAAATGAAAGGGGGTACCTAAATCAACAAGTAAAAAACAAATATATTTTTTAAGAACATATACCACTGCTTAAACAGGCATCCTCTGTGTTTCCATCTAGTGACCAAGCACTGGCTTGTGTGATATTTGAGGTTTCCTTCACCTCTTGTCTGGAAAAAAAAAATGAAAGAAGGGGGTATTATATTTGACTAATATGAGCATGAATGTTAACAACATAACAGGAAGTCAGAAATATTACACGTAATCGTCGAAGGACTGAATATCTTCCCTAAATTTCATCCCATCATGCTGGAAATTTGACCTAGAAGATGGTGCTGGTAGAAGAGGGTGCTTCAACTTGGCTTTTTCTGCACTTCAACAAAGATTTGATCTCAGTTCATCTAAACTTAACACTTAAATAAAACTAGAATCTACAGAAGCCATGTCTATGACTAGCAAAACCTGGGACAGTGCAAACTTCAGGAGCTCTCTGCGAACCAGAATTTTTAGTTGTAGAAATCATAGAACACTTTACTGAGAGAAATCTCTTCTTGCCCCTAAAAAATGGAGGAGCGGAATGGCTTCTTCTAGATCTCACAGAGCTTCCTGATGCCAATGAGCTATGATTTTGCTCTAAATCTTCACATCTTGGATGATAACTTTTGTGACCTTTACCATCAGATAAGGATGAAAAACACACTGATGGTTTATATGAACTTAATTTGTTTTGAAAATCCAGACATGGAGAAAATGTCTCATATGCTACCATAGAGTTACATTTAAGGCCATCAGAACTGTCATAGCCCCTCCCTGATCTTTCTCTAGGATAGTCCTGCCCAAACTCTTGACATTTTTGCAGGTCCACTTGGTTTCCTTTGACGGAGGATATAAATGGACTCCAGCAGATTGATGAGTCTCTACACTTTCTGTCCGGAGATGGTGAATACATGTATTTGAACAAAGGATCATCAAATCTTATAGAGGACATTTCATCAACACTATGCCCAAGTGAAGAATATTCACACATGCCATTTTCAACTCCTGCATATTCATTTGTAAACAGAGATGTTGAACGATGCATAGAAGTGAAATTCGTGTTGCAAAACCTATCACCAAGACTAGATTCATAATTTGACTGCTCAAAATCAACACTTTTTCTTACTCCAGGTTTCCTCTCAAAATCTTCACACTGAGTAATATTGTCAAAATCCCAATCTTTCACTTTAATGAAAGGATGTGTAGTTGTAGATTGCTGACCCAAGTTTGTTGACGAGCAGGGGAAGAGCACTGCGCCTGGTTTACTAGGAGACTCTAAAGGGTATTCTCTGATAAAAGATCCTCCACAGGGTGATAATAAGTTGTCATATTCCATATGATCAAGGTCAAGATCTTTCCTTGTAAGACTTCCTATATTGGATTTAGGGAGTGGCCAAGGATTTGCTACCCCAATATGACACTGAGCTCTTTGATGAATATCAAAGTTATGACTAAGACAATCAGCATCTTCATTGCCATGGGAATTGTTACAGCTTCTGTTAGCCTTGAAATTATCAGTCTGAAACTGGGACTCCTTATCACAGTTCAGAGGTGCTTGAATTGGATTTTCCCATGGGTAACTTTGCAAAAGTAACTCCCTCTGATCATCATTAGCTCTATTCCTGTCATGCTCCGGTATGAACTCAAAACTCCAAGCGCTTCCCTTTTCAAGGTTCCAAGCAATTGAACTATCTACACTGACTTCATCCTTCCATCTTGAATTAAAGAGATTAATGTTTGCATAACTGGCTTCTTTTTCCGTAGAAGTAACATCATTCCTCAAAAAATCTCTATCCACCCGTTCCTTATCAAGCCCCAAAAGATCACTCCCGATACTGTCTGTTACATCACATACATAGTCAGATTGAGAAAATTCACTTACTCCAGTAAAATTCATTTGACGAGGAGACTCCCTCTTTGTGTCTGATTCCCTAAATTTCACATTGATTCTCTCTGGATTCAAATGCTGTCTACTGCTGTTCTTCCAAACAGACGAGTCGTCACAGTCTTCTATTTGCATTCCCAGTGAATCTTCAGGGCATGCAAGCTGATTCTCACTGTTCTGGATCCTACGTCTCTTTGTAGAAATTTCACAGGTCTTCAACCACCAATCTGCATCAGAAAAGAAGCCAATCATCTCAAAGTATACATACACATTGTTCTTTTCCCCCCAAATGGGGGCAGTGAGAAGAGGAGCACTGTCTAGGCAACAGGTGTTGCCATAATTAATAAGGGATATTAGCACAAGAAACAGCATGAAGTCGTGAAAAAATACAACTAAAATTCAACAGATAGGAACAGAGAACCTTTTTCTTCAGAAGAAATCATTTCAACTACTTTCTTTCTGTCATCTTTCCTGATCACAGCTTCATGTTTATGAGAAATTCCTGGCAAGAAAGAAAGACAGACATGACAGTTGTTCCATAAGGAGTTTAAGGCACAGGTAAGCAATTTGGACAAACATAAATGTACAATGACTACAACCTTACCCCTCTTTATTTCCTCACTCCACATAGACATAACTGATTTTTCAATGAATGCAAGTACAGGAGCCCAATCCTGCAACACCATACTAACACTTCAGAGGCTGTGAGCTTATAAGATATTACTAGCAAAACTGCAAGTAGCAAATTGGGAAGGGGAAAAATAAATAAATAAATAAATAAATAAATAAATAAATAAATAAAAAAAAAAAAGAGAGAGAGAGAAAGAAAGAAAGAAAAAAGGTATACAAAAAAACTGGAATCAGATAGTTCCTTGACTCTGAATTCACCTTAATTGGAGCACATTATAGCACCAAACTAACACTTCATATTGATAAAGTTGAAGAATGCAATCACTTATTTCATGGTAAGAGGAAAAATTCTAAGTTTTTGAAAACACTTAATTCAAATTAAACCCCTGCCCACATTTCAAAATTTGAATATTGAAGTACACTTGCAATTCTTGTATTCATCTCCTGGAAAAATCCTTGTATTATTTATTTACCAGAATAACATTTAAGTATTGAATACATTGTGCATTCCTAAACAGACAGCTGAAGCATAGAATTCTTGTTTGAAAAATAGATGTGAGAGGAAAAGAAAAAAACTAATTTGCTCAAAAAAAAAATACTTTCCTGCTATGTTACAATATTAATTCTCTGCCCATCACATCTTAAGAGACAAAACAATTCCTCCCTTATAACTAGCACATGCAAATATCATTACAATATAGGATAGTGAGAGACAGATATAAATAACAAACATGCTCTAGAAACACAGTCCATGTAAATGTTACAATGCCAATAGAAGCAAGGAAGCTGCTGAGCTTATCATGCTAAGTTATGTGTCCTCATATATCCTTCAAATATCAGCACAAAAGCTTAAGAGTAGAAGCAGTAGTTTACAGCTATCAAATCCATCTCCAACTAACCCAATGTAGACAGAGTATGAAAGTACATTCAGACTGTACTACCAAATAAGGAGAATTATCGATTATGTGACTATCCAGTCATGTTTCCTGCCATTCTATATAAATAAACGTCAAACAGAAACCTCTACACAAATCTATCTCTAATGAGAGCATCATGAGCCATCAAGCCTTTCAACAGAAAAAAAATTGATACTACTTCTGAGTAGAAGATATATTATAAATAGCCTGCACAAGTACCAACAAGAATGCAGCCCCGAGCAATAAAAAATGATACCTTGAATTCTACAGAAGCCCTTGAAAATTCAAGATTCAGATCATAGGAATAGCGAGGGCAGGTTAGGTTCAAACAGTACACTGGACCTTGAGGCTGACTTCTCTTTCCACAACTGTCACTTCCCAACTGGTCATGGCACATAACCGCCAGGTGATTCAGGAGTTTATGCATTGGGCCTTTATCCACAAACCTGGAGTTGACATCTTCGTATGTTAAGGTCCACGGATTTCAAAAGATGATTGGCTCATTTCAATTACCACATAAATGTCAAGTTCAATTTTGATATTTAAAATTTTGGATACATATATATTGAACATCCTGCAAAACATAATCAATATGTCAGACACAGATTTTTCATGCCAGCTAGTTTACACTTTACTTAGTTTACTAAATGAATTTAGGTACAAATAAACTCACCTTTGACAAGAATGGACTAGACAGAGAAGACACATATCCCATGAGTTTCAATGGACCTTCAGAAAAACTCAGCTCATGTAAGCTAGAAGATTCAATACCAAAATTGCTGCACAAAAGTGTCAAAGGAGAAGGGCAACTGCGTGTGCGAAGCAATTCATCTTCACTGCATATGGACACCATCAGATAAAATTGCAGCATATCTAGCCAAAAATAATAATTTTTACAATTGTACAGTGGGCGCACCTCTCCATGTCAATGACTTTGAAAGAAATATTAGGCTGCACAAGAGCAATCCGTACTGCACATTTTTTAACTGAGTGCAAAACTTTCTTGACACTATAGCACAAAAGCACCATCAATACAAGATCACCAGACAGTACCTATAAATTAAAACTGTAATTAGTCACTAAAATGAACAATACCTGCACTGCATTTGTCTTCTCCGAACAGGTTGATTGTAAAATAAATCACGAACAATGACTGCAAAATTTGAACATTATAAACTTTCAATTAGAGAAAGAAAATGCAATGACAACTTCTACCAACAGCTTGAAAGTGACAGAAGAAAATATGTGTGCATGAAGAAGACATAGTATCACAATTTATTGTCCTATCACCTGTAATATAAAATTACATGCAACATCCATTTCACGTAAGAGGACCAAAATACTGTATGGGAATTGAAAGTAAGTCACTCTGTAGATCAAGCAATCATGACATTGAGTTTTAGGCACATCCACCTTATTTATGTCGAAACTTACAAGAGTTACAACTATAGGTGACCATAAATGGTTGTGAAAAATTTGGATTTAAATCAGCTAAATGCATGGCTCAGCTACTGTGAATGAGCCGAATTCGAAGTCAATACCATAGATGTAGAGATAACAGCTTGCAAAGTTGCAATGTATTCTTAAATGGAGGATGTACATAAGTTTAAAAATTTAAGAGGCCTTCTCATATAATTACTAACAAAAATAATTCTTCACACAACCTACCCAAGCCAAAGATCATCATAGAGACATAGAAAGAAGCAGCAACAGCAGATTACTTTGTTTCTTATTTGAAGATTGCTTATTGAGTTGAACTTGAAGTGGATTATGGACTAAAAATCTAACATTCAACACAAGCTCTAAGTAAATTGTGTAGTTTTATGTTGGAACCAAAGACAGCTCAGCTCGTGACCACCCTACTATAATTTGCCTCTCTTTGCTTCATTTAAATTGTTACGTAGAAAATTTAAATATTAATTGCTTCCTGATATCAAGGAAGTCCAACATTAGTCTGAAAAAGCACTTTACTTTATCAACCCAAAAATATGCACACGTTTAAAGAGAGAGAGGTCAGTAACAACACCATAAAAGAACCAACTTACCAGTTGTTCCAACATCTTGCCTATCATTATCAATACTGAGACAAAGGCATTTGCGACCCTGAAGAATAAACACAAATGTTATTTTGAACAAGAAAATGGATCAGATGATGCCAAATAAATCCAGACACCATGAAACTGAAACATGACGCAGTAAGTCATACTTGCCTTCATGACTTTACGATAGCCATTAGGCCTCCCTTGTACTCTTGTTACAACTTCTACTAAAGAAATGTCAGCAATTGAGCACAGAACCTCTCCACGAAACCCAAAGCTTTCTTCTAAATTATCTTTTTTATGAATATGCTGAAGTTTTGATGTCACTGCATATGGTAACAATGCATTCACACAAGATTTCAAGGAACAAAAATAACATCTGTTAATGGCATCTCAAGTTTTACCTAACTCTGAAGAGTCTACCCATAGTTTCAATACACTATACACTGGCACATAAAAAAAAAATGTGCAGCTAAACAACATGCTTGCATCCCCAATTTCTCTTCCACTCTTCAAGCAGAAGCCAAGAGGATATAAATCTCATCATATCCAGTATGAACAAGTACCTTGGAAAATATTAAAATAAAATTCAGGGGGAACACAGATTTGGCTAATTGAATGGTGCTTTAGTCATGCAGTCGTGCCACAAAGTAGTGAAGGATCTTGATTTTTGCAGTGCATAAAACACATGAAACATAAGCATTTTGCTAATTTTTAATAGCATCTTGTTGATAATTAAAACAAAGATATGACTTAGTAAACCATTAAAGATTTCTCCTGCTAATGATTTCACAAGAAGAAAAGACGAACAATCTAGGCCGGCAAAATCCAACCATTCACACAATGTAGCAAAGATGTCTAGAGGTTCATCATTAGGAGCACTTACACTACAACATAATAAGACATGGGTTTAACCAAAGAGAAGTCCTTGTTACCATAGCGTTCTCCCAGCAGCACCAGTCCATCCCGGCTAATGCCAGATCCTGCAAAGTCAACCCATATATGAACCATTTAGTGCTTTGATCAGCTAGGTACAGTATTTTGACATAACTTAGCAGATAATGTTACAGACCATCATCTTCTACTTTAACGTAGCCATTGTTAACAGCTACAGATACAGATACCTGAAACAATACAGTGCCTGATTAAATCCAAATATACAATAGTGTATAGACTCTTCATGAGTATGGTCAATTTCAGTTAAATCTCTTAAAACAATAATATAATGACTAAAAAATCCAATATCACAATTTATGCTTACTCATCATAGTCATTAACTAAAGAAAAGTAATAAAAAAAAAAACAAAAAAAAACAAAAAACAAAAAAAAAATAAAAATAAAAGAATATAATATAATAATAATAAATGAGGGAGCTTTACTAGATACAGTAAATTTTCCCATTTTGTGTAGCAAAAAGAAAATGTACCTTTGTTGCACCAGCATCTAAGCTGTTATATATGAGCTCTTCAACAACAGTTGAAAAGCAGCTGATGATGAACCCAGAACGCACTATACTTTGAACAGACTCTGGCAAAGGTTTGATGGTTTCCATCAAACTATGCCACAACTAACCTATCTGTTTGCCTGCCCAAACTGAAATTTTTATTTGATTACTGAATATTACTTTTGAGGGAAAAACAACAATTGCAACAAAAACAAGTTTTGTGCAAATATCGAACTAAATCATATATTGCTCCCCGTGTTTATGTACTGTTATATAAACTTATTGAATAGGATTGATATACAATTAGACATTTAATATTAAAATCTAATGGAAATAATGAATCAAAGATATAATTAACTCCTTTTGTATCTATTATATGCATAATATCCTAGTTGTTTGATGTTAGAAAAATTGTTTTCTAAAATCCACTAATTAGCAGCAAATCTGGGATGTAGAAGGGCATCAACTAACATAAAAAATATGGACTATGGTTTAAATTATGTTCTCCTCAGCTTATCTTGACTTATCGCAGAAAAAATAAGTTGAAGAGAACACGTCCATGCCCATCCCTGAGCCAGGGCAGGTAGGGCAACTGCCGAATAAAGGTCCAATTTCATAGTTTCATACTGACATTAAAGGGTCCTGCAACAAATTAACAGCCAAATTAGACTCAATAATCAAATTAGGCTCGAAAAAACCCATAATTTTAGGTAAAATAAAAGGTCCAATTTCTTAGTTTCATTTTAAGATTAAAGGCAAATTTGATTCAATTATCAAATAGGGTTCGAAAATTCACATAATTTTCTTCTCTAGCAACAAAATTGATCGTTATGATCCTTCCTAGCATTTGTAATTATAAACAATAGTTCAGTAATCGAGTTTTTAAAGAACCCTAAATTGAGTATACTGAAAATTAAATTAACGACAAACCCTAGATTGTGAAAATGATATTCGATGATTACAAAAGGAAAAACATGTTACCTAAGAAGCTGCTTCAATGGAGGAAAGTAATGCGAAGTATCAGAAGTCGCTTCAATGGAGAAACTGAGAGAGAGAGAGATAGAGAGCGCGGGAAAGAGCTAAGTTCGTCTATTTCTAATTTCTATTACTCCCCCTTTTGTTCTAAGGGGGGTGTTTGGCAAGTGGGAATTGAGGGTGGGATTGGGAATCGAAAAAATAAGTCTTGTTTGTTTGGTGGGAATAAGAATTTAAAAGGGTTTGGAAATGAGATTATTTATTGGTGAATTTTCACCATTTTATTATCTATGGAGGGTAGGTAATAAATATATGGGAATGGAAATAGGGGCGAAATGACATTTTTGCCATTAATAAAAAGAATGAAATAGTAATCTTAGTAAGGGTATATTTGTATTGGCAATTTTTCATGTAATACCATCAATTAAATCTCAATCCCATTCCCACCTTTTAATCCCCAAACTCTCATTCCCACAATCCAAACGTCCCGTAAGGGCTATTCTGTTGGGCTTAATTTCATTTCAATTCAGCTATGCTCCAATCAATTACGAATAGTTTCTAATTTCTTCTTTCATAAACATTTCAATTCAATTCAGCCCCAATCAGTTCAACTCAATTGTTTTCGGTAAATCAAAATAACCCCTAAATACACTGTTTTATTTACCTTACTATTCACTTACAACAAAAATAGGTTAAAAATCAAGTTAATAGAAATCTTATCGAATCTTTTAGACTTATAATTCACTTTTAAAGTCAAAATACGGCATATGAATCCAATGTACATTTTGATATTCCGTATTTGCTATTATATAATCAATAATTGTCGAACACCTATGGAGCATAATATCAATAAAGTAAACATGATTTTCAAGAAACATAAAACCCCTTAACAAAATTTTTAAAAAAAAAAAATAAATAAATAAAAAAATAACAACAACCACCTTGGGTATCCGTATCCCCGAGTTACACATTAATCTATTGTCATAATGGCTATGTAGTTATATACATATATTTACGCTGCTTATGTAAATTCTCTTTATATTTAAATTAAGTGCATCAATAATAATTAAGTGCATACATGATATCGCATAAATTTGACTATAAATATCTTTGATTGTCTATTACTACAACAATAATAACAACAAAGTCTTATTCCAAAATGATTTGAGGTCAGCTAACATACGATATAAAAATGACATAACAATATATTTGATTAATTGAAAGAATTTTTAAAAGTGACTAAAGTGAGAAAAAAGAGCATTTAAAATCATGTCACACTTAAAAATGAAAATAATACTGAAGTCAAATTAATGCATTTATTCAAATACAAAAGGTGTATTTAATATTGTAAATCTACGTTTCTAACGTGAAATACGAGTATAATTTACGCTTTTAATGTGAAAGACTATAGCTTTTTATAATTAGTTTGATTTGTAAATTGTGCATTTTACAATGCATAGGTTCTCCCATCTCACACACAAAACAATAACTATAACTTTTTATCTACTAAAATTGTATAATTTTACGTTTTATATTTTACTATTCAAAATTATCCTAACAACACTGTAAAAGAAAAGGAAAAAAAACTACCAAGGAGCATATCTTTCAATTAACCACTTGTTTTGTTTTTTAGTAGCATAACTTTTAATAAATGACTATTTTTATTTATTTTTTTAACAAAAATACTACTTGGTACGTAAATGTATTTCTTTTATTTTTAAAAAGCACACATCTTTATCATCATAATAATATTGATTAAATAGATGTGGATAATAAGACAAGACATATATTGTTTATACTTGATAGCCATTTAATACATACAAAAACATAGAGGTGATCAACATTAGTCCGACCCAAAAATAGGGCGGGTTTGGGCAAGCATAAAAACACATTTTTAGTTTAAAAGCCCGAATCCGGCCCGAAAAAGCCCGTTTTGGCCCGATTTTTTATCACCTCTACAAAAACACTACAAAATTAAATCATATAACTAATATATAAAGCCCGTTTTGGCCCGACAAGCCTGCTTCTTTTTTACGGGTTTGGGCACGAGAAATTGTGTTAAGGCCCGGCCCGACCTGATTTTTTATCACCTCTACAAAACACACTACAAAATTAAATCATATAACTAATATATAAAGCTAAACTTTTAGTCAGACCACGAGATAGCGTGTTCCAACTTTTCGCTAAGTGTCGCGCTACGTTGGATAGATTTAAATAGACTTTATAAGATAAAAAAAATTAGTTTAGAATTCTATTTGGATAGAATTTTGGGATAAAATTGTTAGTTTAGAATTTTATTTTCGATAAAATACCAATATTTCAAATGTATAAATTGAATTATAATTTTATTCAAGAAATTATTAGATTATAATTCTAAAAAATTATCATATAAATTTAATTTTTTATATCATAATATTTTTTAGCAAAGGAAGTAGTTCAAAGCGTAAAACATCCATTTATAACATATACTAATCGGTTAAAATAATATACTTCACAATCTAATAGAATTTTATTAGAGGTAGACCCGCCAATTAGGGTCGGGTTACGAGTTATCTCGGATTAAATTTTATCTTAAAATTTAATAAACAACCCGGACATCGAACGGGGCACAAAACTAGTTTAACATATAAAGTAAATTTAAAACATGAAACTATCATATTATCCAAAACAAGGGCTAACATTACATGTTCCATCACACATTCACTAAAATAACAATAATAAAATATTTAACAATGTAATTTATTTTTTTATACAATTTTTTTTTTACAAAAATATAACAGGAAGCATATATTTTTCCATTAATATATTACACTAATTTAATAATAAACAAAATCCTTGTTTTTTAAAAAAAAATTAATAATAATAATAATAATAATAATATTTTGGAGATTTTATTACAAGAATTACAATTAGAACCAATACCATAAAAGAGAATTTCCAAATACAACTATACAAGTACCTTGTGTCCATACATAAGATCTTCCATTTTTTCTCCACCATCACCTTCTCCCTACAATTGGATTTGCCCTTCTCACCATCTTTCCTCTCTTTCTCTCTCTTCCCCAAACCCTAATTTCAACTCCTCCTTATTTTTCAACTTTTTATTTCTCCTAAGATCAGGTAAATCTTCTTCACCTTTGTTTTTTTTGATCACAATTCTTATCTGGGTTTTTGCTCTTCGATCACATGTATTGAAATTCTACTTCACATTTTTAATTTATTGTAATTTTATTTATTAAGCTGTTTGCTTTGATGAAATTAGCAATTTTTATTTCTTAATTTATGTTGATTTTATTTAATGGGTTTGTGTGAGATTATTGCATTGATTAGCAATAAACCCTTTATTTGAATTTGATGAACTTTGGAAATTGTTTGATAATTATGTTTATGTTTGATTGATTGTAGTAAATTAGATTTAGATCCTGAATTTTGAGTGATTATCATTCTGCTTATTAAATTTTGGCATGTTGGGTTTTCTTTTGTTTTGGTGAAATCAGATGTACAGGAGGGTTTTGTATTGAATTGATTTATAAAAGGGTGGTCTTATTGCTATTATCATACCATGAATGTAGTTGTGGCAGTTGTTTCATCATGTGGAAAATTCGAGTTTTCGGTATTTAGAGATTGCTGAAAGAGAGGGGAATTGAATTCACATGGATGCCAATGAGTGTGATACGAATCATTTAGATGCCGATGTTCGTCTACCACCTCGAAAGAGGTTGTTAGCTGGGTTGAAAAAACAGAGTTGTTCGGAGAGTAATTCTCAATGCTCGCAAGAAAATAACCCGAGCCCTATCCCAAGCCCTACCCCAAGCCCATCATTAAGTGCAAGCCCTCTGAGTGAATTTGATGTTCGTCTGAATAATCTGTTGAAATCATATAAGAATGGATCTAATATGTCTCCTGAGGAGATAGCAGAGGCTGCAGGTTCCGCTGCTGCTGCTGCAGCTAAGGCAGCTGAAGCTGCACGAGCTGTTGCTGAGGAAAAGGCTGCCATTGCTGCAAAGGCAGTAGCTGCTGCTAAGAGTGCCCTAGATAAAGTTGCATCTATATCTGAAGAGACAAGCAGCAAGGATAAACACCAGAAGAAGAATAAACTGAAGAAGCATGTTCCTGTTCAACTATTGTACAAAAAGCACCAACCAGTTGAGAGCTGTGGGACAGATGAAGAGCTGGCTAGGAAACTGCATCGGGCTATAAACAGCTCCCCGAGAATCAATAGAAACTCTCCAGGGTCGGATTCTAAGAGTCATAAGCACAAGAAGCTGAAAGTCTCTCCACCCAGTGAGAAGAGTGGCGTTGCTAATGGTACAAGTGCAAGGGATGAAAATGCTAAATTGCCTTCAGCTTGCAATGGGGATGTTATAGAGGGAGGTATGGACTGTGAAGGGTCAAATGAAGAGCCTTTTACTGTCAAATTAGACGATAAGGTGTCAAAATTTACAAAGCCTGATGAGATGGAGGTGGATAGTGGTGAGGCGGAATCAAGTCAATCAAAGGTGAAAACCTTTACACCATCAGATGATGTGTGCACTATTGGTAGGAAGAGAGGTAGAATCAAGCAAAAAAAGTTGCCTCTAAGCTTATGTAGCTCTAAGGATCAGTCAAACCCTAAGGAAGATCTGATTCTGACAAACTCGTTGTTAAGTAGGGGTAGAACTGATAAATCAACCACTCGTCATGTATCGTTGCTGTCATTGGAGACTCCTGCTGAAAATGTCACTCCAATGGAGGTTGCACCAACATGGAAATGCCAGGATTTCAAAGTTTCTCAGTGCCTTAATCAAGACAAAGCTGTGCAGTCTTAATGATGGAGCTCCCAGCTCAGGTAGTATTTCATCATGGTCTTCTTGTAGAAAGGTCTTATTTACTTGTATTTTTTGTATCTGTTGCTTGCTGTTGCATTTTATGGGTTGTTGACAACAATGTATATCTTTACTGTTCAGATTCTCATATCGATGTGTGATATAGAATAGATTTCGCAATAATGTGCAGTGCTTTTGTTGCTGCACTCAATACTTGCTTTCACTTTGTAGATGTAGGTGTAGATTTACAAGACACTTATATGTATGATCTTTCTGATAATGATTTAATGAACGATTCAACTTCTTTATCCAAATATTGTTTTATATTTTTTGCCGTAGCTTAATGACTTAGTGTTGTTGGAACTCTAGGAACTATTAATGGAAATTGGCAGAAAAATTACAATATATGAGACTCTGAGAATTCAGTGAAACAGAATTATGAATTATCAGGAGTTATCTTTTGCAGCTAGCTTTTTGCCACCTTATTCTAATTGTTGAGTTTCATTGATTATACTGTTTTACTCTGCTCCCTTTCAGCATGGCAACATTCTATATCCACATTCTTTTTGTTTAATCATCCAGTTTGCTGAGAAAAAACTCTTAAATCATTAAATGCTTTTAGAATGGCTCAATATTGTGAGCAATCACAAAATTAGTTTGTTACTCTCATTAAACCAGACCTTAGCCTTCAATCCTCAATCAAGCTGACGAGGAACTATCTTGAAAAGTAAACCGAGAAATATTATAAGAATTTGATCTCAAAAGTAAGATAGTCTTGTGTTTATTAAAAGTTTGCATCAGTTATAAGATGGTCACAAGAGATTGTATGCTCAATTTTATAATTTCATAGGTAAGAATGTGTACATATGATCCCTTGATGACCTTAACGAGATTAGGAGCCTTGGCAAATGTGTGAGGTAATGATGTTTTGTCCATTTAGGTTAGATGACAATAGGATGTTATAAATTTCATCACAACATTTGTGTACCGAAAATCATAACCCCTCAAGTCCCCCATCCCACCCCCCTTTTTTCTCAAAAGGTAGTGTACAAGACTACAAGTATCTCTTACAACTTGTTTAATTACATAGTAAATGAAATGTTTTCTTTTTAGTAACTTATCTCTATTTTTTTAAAAAAATAAAAATATTCACTCTACTTTTTATTAATAATAGGGAAATTCCCATTGGTACACCCGTGGTTTTGACTTTTCCCATTGATACACTCCAAAATTTTTGCCTTTTCATCGGTACACCCATGGTTTAGTCTTTTTCCCAACCGTGACTAACACCGTTAAAAAGTATTTCATTAAGTTAAAATAATTGAGGAAAAGACTATAATACCCCTTTTAAACATCTAATGTCTCGATTTGCGTGTCGAAAATTATTCGGTTAAAGTTTTGGGAGTCCTAGTTGTTAAGGATCCAAATAAACCTCGAAATTAGCAAAAAAAAAAAACGCAAATGTCTCATATGCGTGTCAAAAAATGTCTCGATTTACGTGTCATTACTTTTTTGTGATAGTAATTGTACGGTTAAGGTTTTAGGAGATATTTTGACCCTTTATGGATCTAAATCGAACTCGAAATTGTCAAAAAAATCTCATTTTGCACGTCATGATATTTCTTTTTTGTTTTGTCATGACGTGCAAAATGAGATATTTTTTGACAATTTCGAGTTCGATTTAGACCCATAAAGGGTCAAAATATCTCCTAAAACCTTAACCGTACAATTACTATCACAAAAAAGTAATGACACGTAAATCGAGACATTTTTTGACACGCATATGAGACATTTGCGTTTTTTTTTTTTTGCTAATTTCGAGGTTTATTTGGATCCTTAACAACTAGGACTCCCAAAACTTTAACCGAATAATTTTCGACACGCAAATCGAGACATTAGATGTTTAAAAGGGGTATTATAGTCTTTTCCTCAATTATTTTAACTTAATGAAATACTTTTTAACGGTGTTAGTCACGGTTGGGAAAAAGACTAAACCATGGGTGTACCGATGGGAAGACAAAATTTTTGGAGTGTATCAATGGGAAAAGTCAAAACCACGGGTGTACCAATGGGAATTTCCCTTAATAATATACTGACTAATGGTCCCCACAAAACTAACCTTTAGTCTCTTCAATCTCCTCAACTTATACCCCATTATCTATTATTTTAGTAAATTCAACTAACTTTTCTAAAACTCCGTGAAAGTCAAAACATTTCATTTATTTAAATAGAGGGATTAGGAGGTAATAAATAATGGTAATGAAAATGAAATTAATTGTAGTTATGAAAAGAAGTGATACAATGAACTCTATCCCTCTCAAATACTCTTTTCTATTAGAGTTAGGCCTCGTTCTTTAGAGCTGCTCCGCTATACTCTAATCTGCTGAAATCTGCTCTATTTTGTTGAGCTATGCTTTGATGACTGAATTTACTCTGCTAACACCTGCTTTGTTGTGCTGAAATCTGTTTTGCTTTGCTGCTTAAATGAACAAGGCCTTACGTCTTAGCTCAAATTGCTCTCTTGATGTTAAGCCATAGTCGTCACAAGCAACAGTACGCAAGTTGTAAAATAGGAAACAAATCCGTGCAACTTACATATGAGGCGCAGCACATATGTGCCCATAATGACATGGACATGTTTGATCAAGTTCAATAACTTTCGCAGCTTATGCGTCTTCTTCTAGCTAGGCAGCAAGGAGGAGCTTTTGCAGCACCATTCTTTTGCTCGTTGCTCGACAAACAGTTTCTTTGAGTAAAGGTTTCAAGGTGCTACCAAGCTCAACGGAAACTGTTATTCTATAATGAAAACAGAATTTGGACCTTGAAGAAGAGTCAATGACAGTCCCTGTATCAAATGATTGAGGAAGATATTAAAATTAAAAGAAAAATCTTTGATTTGCAACCAAAAAAAAAAAAAAAAAAACTTAGTCCGTACATTTGAATGATGAAATTTACGAGGTAGATACGCTTTTATTAACAAGCTTTATGTATGTATGCAAAAGCAGAATTTGATAACTTTAGCAAATTGTTGAGATATACCTACTTTTCTCACTTGCTCACTTTATCCACTATTGCCATAATAGTTTTCACATGAAAATCTATCCAAATGTCCATTTCAAACGAAAATTGACTCTTACTAGTCTATTTGTTTGGTGTTAATGCGGTAATCAACTAAATATATCGTTGTTACGAGTTTTATGACTTTTATCTCATTTTTTAAGGTTTTGTATCTTTAGAAGATTTTACATTGTTATCCATGATTCAATTATTGTGGAACGTTTTGACCATTATACCCAAGCTTTTTAGTCGATTGCCTTTATCAAAATTTATTGCTTGTAAGCTACATGAAATCCCGAACAACTTAAATACTACTCCGTACTGTATAGTTGAGGCATCAACAACAATAACATGCAAACAAACAACAGAGCTTTATATTTTATATTTTGATAGGTCAAGATTTAATTTTAAGAGAAGATTGTCCTAATTTCTACTTCATATTTAATTTTCAGCCAAGGTCAAAGGATTTAAAGGACCTTTGCCAAAATCTGCACCTCCTTTGGCGACACCATATCTATTCTCACCTTCAGATGAGAAGCTGCTTCAGATGAAGTGTTCTACCGTTTTCAACGAAAGACGAACTATGGATTCCAGATAATTTTTTCTTCCATGGCATGCTCAGAGAGAAAGGCGAACGATAGAAGACTGAAACTGTAAAGGGTGTAAATACACAAGAAAGCAAAAGGCAAGTACACAATGAGAGAACAGCATTTTCCACATTCACAGAAAAAACCCTGATTTACACCCTTACAAACTAATAAACAAACTTCGACCAAAATTCTTGCTATAACATTACATCATCTCCAAAAAAATTCAATCATTATATATTACATCAGGTATAATGAGAAATATATATAACCCTCTAGAGGGGGGGAATGAGGGGTTATAGAAATTCTTGTAACCTTATTGTAGCTAAGGCAAAAAACCGAAATCAAATCGTGGGGTAATTTCTTCACTGTGCAGGAAGCAAGAAGAGAGATGGGAACTTTGCAGATAACATGTAAATGTGGTCTTTTCTTCATTAGCTATCTAAATTTGAAGGCTCTTCATCCCAACAGCTAATTTTTTATCATTAGAATTATCGTTAGAAGTCAGTTTCGGGTTAAGCCAAGGGTGTTGCAGGCACTGTTGGGCAGTCGGCCGTTTCTCAGGAGCAAAATCAAATATGGGGCACAGAAAATCAGCAAAGTCACGAGCATCTTCTTCCGAGAATTTATACTTATCGACAAGCAATCGATCAAGCGACCAGTATTTGAGTCTTCTGATCCTCTTAAGATCCCCATATCTATCAAAAAAATCTTTAGAACGTGCTCCTCCATTGGCTATCTGCACAAGCAAGCATTGACAAACTACAGGTCAGCAACCTAATAGGGAATTTAAAAAAAAGGATGAAAATTGAGATGCTAGCTTACCTTCTTAGGCATCTTTCCCAGCAGTTCCATCATCAGGGCAAGATGATCCTATAACACATGCAAAAAGTAATCAAGATTTTATAAAAGATAAATATTCTCAAGTAAAGTAATTACTCCAATTCAGATGTGAATATGGCTACATAACATCACGGGACATAAACAATGCAAGAGAAACAATTCAATTTTACAAGAGAGAGCAAAGAACAGAGCAGCAGACTGAATTCCCTATTCTGTAAGAAATAGCAAGATAGGCATGTCAAGCACCAAATCTGTCAATGAAGTACACACTAATATAACAAAATTTAACTAGAAGGTAAAACTCCCTCAAGCTTCCTCCCCCCCACCCTCCCCCAACAGACAGCAAATTATGTAACATAATCTCATTTCACCAAATATGATGTGTGGGGCTAATCTTAGTTTTTTATAGTTCACCAATCACCATCAACAACTCACAACTTTAGCACACACACTAGCAACTACTGTATTATTTGAGATTTAGACAGAACTTATGAACTATGGAGAACTTGATTGATGACAAAAATTGTCTACCTCATCATCTGTAAATCCTTGTCCCCCCTTAGGGGTAAACAACATGTCCCCTGTAGCAAGCTCAAAAGCTGTACAAGCAAATGACCACAAGTCGGCAGATGCGGTATAGCCTGATCGGATAATAACTTCAGGAGCTCTATACTGCCTTGTCTGTATTTCTTCCATGAACTGTCGATCAGCCCAACAAGCATTTCCAAAGTCTACAACTTTGCACTTCAAATCAATCCCTTCTAGTGATCTCTGAGGTTTTGGGCGCTGTTGCATACCCATGGAGGCCCTTCTCTCAGATATCCTGGCCACTGCCATCTTTGCCCTCCTCTTAAGCTTTTTCTCGATCAAACTCATTGACGCTCCTCCACCATTTTGGTTTCCTCCTTCAGGCTTCTCAAGAATTGGGGTAAATCCAGACTTTATTGGATCTTTAGATGGATCAATGGGAGAGACAAGAAGAATATTTTCTGGCTTTAAGTCTGTGTGGATTATATTACATTCCCGATGCAAATAATCCAAGCCCATCAAAACACATTTGCAGATTTCCCTAACTTTGTCCAAATCCATACCTTTGTGATGATTGTATCTAATTAAACGGAGCAAGCTATCCCCAAGAAATTCAAGAACCATGCACAGATGCTGCCCATTAGGGCCTGTATGCTTAAAGTGATCGATCAATCGAACAACATACTTAGACTGAGTCTGGTCTCCATCAGCAATTGCTGAAAGGACTTCAATTTCATGAAGAGCAGCCTGAGCAAACTGCATTGCACTTTTCTGTATCTTCAAAGCCACAAAACCCTGATACAAATACAGGCACCATAAATTGAATTATAAAATATTAAAGAGATGCAATAATGGACATAAGAACTATCAAGAAGCGCAGAACAAATAAAGAAAGTAAAAGAACATAGAGAAGAGAAAAGGGTCAAATTCAATAATTTCAAGAACAACGGATTATAATTCTATCAAAAAACTATCGACATTTCCAAACTAAGCAGTAAAAACTGTTCTACAAATTTTCTGCATTTTGAGCTGTTGTAAACATGCAAAATATACACTTTGTCATTTTGACTATGAAAGTATAAAGAGGGAAACTTACTCAAGAGTCGAAACATTTGGATAGATGTGCTTTCAATTTGACTATAATTGGAATGGGGGAGGGATGGGAATACAACCAAGTAGAATATATAACCCAGTGGCTTCCTATCCCTGGTTCATGTGTATATCATAGTAAATGAGAAAAAGGTAGAGAGACTGTAATCGTATATTTGAAAAAAATAACATACACTGTACTTCATGAAATTTGAACATGGGTTCAATACTCCTTTGTACATAAACATATAGCCAGACACATATAGTAACAACTCAAGCAGAAGAAAGCATTAATATGATACTTCTCTTATTACATGACAATATCACATCATCACCAATATCCAACAGTACAATTACTTAGCAAGTTGGAAGACCTCAAATATTCCACAACAGCTTTCTTGATTGAATTCCAACCACACCATTTCTAAAGTAGTTGTCATTCCTTGAAATTTGTGAAAATATGTGTGGTTCTCCACATGCGGTTCCTTTCCATTCATCAAATCTTTATTCATACAAAAATCTCACTCATGAAGAGGAGCTAATCTAATAGTAGCACTATTTAAAATTACACTCAAATGCTAGCCTACACTGATCATTGATATCAATCGTCTCGTTCCATATTGCACGTGATCTAAACTACCCAAGAGAGAGAAAAAACCAAAAAAAAAAAAATATTCTCAGAATTTTTCATGCCAAACAGAAAGAATTGACGGATAATGGCTCATTAGCCATATTGGCGCAAAATTAAGACCCCCTTCAACAACGAATATTAGAAAATTCACATATTCCTTTTTGTCTTCCTTGTCTCTTTGTTTCTGACAGTCTCTCTCAACCAAATCCTCCATCTCCTTCATCTTTACACCATCGCCCAACCAAAATTCTCTTGAAACATAAAAAGTATAAAAAAAAGGTTCTTAAAATCAGGATATGGCTTGAATTCTACCTATATTTATATTCAGACTTATTTAAAATCTAGTACTATCAATATAGGAGGAGATTAGGAGTTAAGACTTTGGGAGAGCAATATAATGTAACAATACTCAAATTAGTTTTACCAAGCAAATTGAACCTTGATATGGACAAGGACATACATCAAATGCTCACGAAAAAAAATTCTTTAACAATATTGTTGATTAACAATCCATTACAACATATAAAAGCTGGTACATATACAAAATGTGGAAAAAAAAAAAATGACCGGCAATCAATTCAATTTCTGACAAAGATTAAGCCCATATGACTGAAATGTTTTTCTTTAGCTAAAACATGATTAGAGATCTTTCATACCCATGACTCCATGAGGACATGTGGGAAATACCCAAAAAAAATTACACCAATGTAGTAATAAAATTTGATCATTCAGTCAAAAGACAACAAAATTACAAAATTCCACATTTTCAAGCAAGTGTCACTTTAAGAGTACATTTGTACAAAAGGATGAAAAATTTCCAATTGCTCAACTCAGATAATTTCTGGTGCTTGCTAAGCTAAAAATAAACTGATTAAGAAGCAATATCTGCATCTTTGAATCATTAAAATTTGCAAAGTTATAGCTCATAAATCAGCCAAAAAACTTCAAGATTCAATCATACTTTTAGCAGACTTTATACTCTGTACTTTATATAGACAACAATTTACGTAAGACTCCTTTGCATTACAACAATGAGAATGATACCATACCTAGTATAGCTGTTTTCATTAATCAAGCTTTGAGTAGGTAATAAATTATTTGTTCATATGCTTCATTATCTGTTATTAATGAAGTCTCAAAAGGGTAGCTTGCATAGAGTAAAAAAAATCAACAAGATAGTAGGAATTACATCTCAAACAAAAGATTTTGTGTTTAAGTTAAATATGAGGAACATAGATCAAGTAAACAAGTTAAAAAAACCAACTGAGTATCTATGCTTTTACAGAGATTATTACAATTAAAATTTGTTTGGTCCATGATAATAAATGGTGGTAAAGAGAATGAATATACGCTTATATAGTTATATCAGAAAACAAAGTCCATTACCATGAGGCCATGTTAATAACAGTGCACCCCAAATTTTTATATCCATTACCATTTGGAGTAACATTGGATAGTAATGAACATTTATACTGTGAAAATTAAAATGTTATCTTGCTTGCCGAGTTACACATCAATTCATTCCCATTACCTTTATTTATAACTATCTACCAAACGAGCTGTCAACATACATTATAACACCATTCACACAAAATAGGCCATCAACTACTTAAAAGCTTACAGTTCCCATCTTGCACAACACTAACGATCCATGATTCCATATCCAATGACAACATTGCTTTGCCAGATTACAATGTTATACTTTGTCAAAAAGGGGCCAATTTTAGCAACAGTAAGGATATAATCAATGTATTACTAAAAGTACTCATTTTGCCCTTTCTTCCCTGGATTACATGAAGATGTGATCTTCAATACTCAACATACCCTACAGCCCAAAGGTAGGACACCCTATTGCAAATAATTAAGGATCATAACTATCATTGGTAGGTAAACCACTGAATAATTGCAATCTAAGCAAGATAAAGACAACTCATTTCACTAATTCATCAACAAATACCAATATAAACAAACCCCAACAATAATTCATTAAACATAAACCACGGGTCCACAAAAATATGATCCAATACAAACAAAATTGCAGCAAATTCCCAAAATACATAGAATAGAAATTAAAATTAAAAATTAATATAGTGATCAGATCAATATGAAGAAGAAGAAACATACGGAATTCCGAGTGTCATAAGCAAGCCAAACAGTAGAAAATTGACCCCACCCCAATTTTCTCTGAGCAATGTAACGTCCGCCATTAAAGGAATCACCAACTCTCACCGCATGATAACCTCCTTTTCTATATGAATCGAACTCCTCCTCATCTTCCTCTGACCCAGAAGATGATGAACACGACATTATTCAAATAGATTATATGAGTTTGAATTGATTTTGATTTTGAATTTTCTGGGCGAAATTAATGATTTTGGGGGTCGATTTGATCTGGGTATGATTCAAAAAGCTAGCTTTGTTGATGAGATGAAATGGGTATTTTTCAGATGATTTGGGGGAAGAGAGAGAAAGAGAAAGGAGAGATTTTGGGTTTGCTGTAATTATATGTGGCCTTCAATTTCAAGACTTCTTCCACTTTTCTCTCTTTTTCTTTCTTTTTTCCTATATCTTTCTCACCTTATTATTGATATTTAAGAGAGATCAAAATCAATGGTCCTATTTTTTTTTAAATAAAATTGTAGTGGGATTGGATCATGGTTTGTGGACCATTTAACAACTTTACCCTCCAAGGATATGAGTTTGTGCGCCTTTTCAATAAGGTTTCGTTTGGTTTGTGACTTTGTAAGTCTTAGTTTTAGTATTGTAAGGTGACAATTAAGTTACTATACTCGGGTTGGGTGATGTCACAGTGATTATTTAAACTAATTTTATTTGGTAAAGATGGTGAGAAATTCATTTTGTAACTTTGAGGTTACAAATTCGAACATCATCATGTACATATGCTTGGATGTAGAGGATTTTTTATCTTCTCATCTACTTTCAAGCGTTCACTTTTATACCTGAGTTGACTAACTTGTGATAGAATATGATTCAATACGTATATCTCTACTCTTTTAAAAAGTCACGATGACCATTTTGTCGATATCTTGGGTCACAAAAAAATTGAATTATGTTATCAGTTAGTTTTCAAGTGGGATATGATTAGGGTACTAGTTAGTTATGCTTACTACATTCGGACTTCTAGTCTAAAATACTAACTAAGACATAAAAGATAATAGTATTGATTTATAAATGGAGGAGATAGTTTTAAACTTGTGACAATTATTTGTCATTAGAACAAAAGCTCATTTAACTTTTTCGAACATTCTTTTCTCATTTAATGGTTAGACCCTTAACAAGTTAACCTTATAAACTAACCTGTAAATGACCCCTGAATCATGCTTGATCTTTAAAATTATTAGTAATTGAATTATAGAAGCCTCTAAAAATATAACTCAATAGTCAATTATAAGAATAAATAATGAAGTTATAGGATAAATTAAAAAAAAAAAAAGAGAGTTTATGAGGGAAAAATCCCCTACGTTAATACTCGTATAAGAGCTTATTCTCTTTAGATTATTTGCAATTCAGTTCAGTTCAGTTCAGCTCCAATAAGTTTAGTTCAGTTCAGTCCAACTCCAATAAGTTTAGTTTAGTTCAATTCAATTCTTAATTTCCTTCTTTCATAAAATATTCAGTTCAACTCAATTTAGTCAATCAGAACAGGCCAAGTGTATAACTATATAAGTATATTAGGTATTGATAAATGATTATTGTATGTTTTCATTTAGAGTTTCTGACTTCCAGGTAGAATATAGAGCCTAGGTAAAATGGCCCTCATAAGTTGGGCGGGTTGGACTTCAAGTTGGATATAGTAACTCAAACTCTTAAGATAACAACTTAATTCCAATGTAAACTAGATAACCCAAAAACTAAAACCAGAACTACTTGTATTTCAGGCATACAAAGATTACAAGCTACACAAGATAATACTGTCTAATGGTATATAATTTCATGTTGATGTAATGATGTGATATTGCACACACCACTCTATCACATGGTTTTATATAAGCTATAATATTGTTTTATAGCTCATACTTCGTATAAATGATCAATATAGTTATAGTTATTAAAATATACTCCGTACAATATAGTGTAGCAATCAACAAATGGCAGTGTCATTTAGTGTGCTACTTGTTTGCTGCTACCATACACTTGTAATTTGTAAACAAAGTGGTTAGTACAAAATTAACATAATTAATTATAGGGGTATACACGCATAAATGTCATTACCAAACATGACGGTGAATTGGATGATTAAAATATAGGAGTAGAAACCCACTCCTAATTAAAGTTATACAAATTGAAATTACGCATGCATTAGTGCACTCCTTATCAATTTGTTTCCTCTTTTTCCTCCCCATATATTTATCGGAAGATGACTATGACGTCAGCATGATAACATAATTTAGTTACTACATCTGTTTCATATTATTTTTAATAATTAGACATTTTTCATCTCTACTTTATGTCAAATCGTTGTAAATAATATGAAACGGAGGTAATATTAATTATACAAATATATTAATTAATCGGAGTAATCAATGATGACTACTCCCCAAGTCCCCATCGTCCCGTTTTTTCAGTTGATTTTGAAAAGAAATTTTCTCCCAATAAACACATATGGTAAAAATGAGGATTTCAAACATTTTTTACACTTTTACTCGGTTGTTGCATAATATAAGGTGTGTATAATATACACCTTAAACAAAATAATTTAGAATGAGCGAGTTTTCTTTTTGGCAACTGCTAAAATCAGTAAAATGAGTGCTATATATTTTCTCTTTTTAATAAAAGAGTGATGCTTTAGGCATGCTTAAGCATTTTATAATGTTTCCCTAAAAAAAAAAAAAAAAAAAAAATCTTTTTATGATGTTACTTCCAGGAAGATTCATTCTTATCTGACTGTTACAAACTTCCAACGCAGAAAATGTCCAATAATCAGAATATAGATGGATTTAAGATGAATCTAGACGTTATTTTATTTAAACATTTGGCTATTGTCTAGACGTAAGTTGCCCGTTTCCTATCATAAAACAAGGCGAAGTCCATCCAGCTACTAATAACGTTTTCTTTGCAGTCACTTTCATTGAAAGCAAGTGGCTTTTAATAAAAATAAAAATAAAAATGCAAACTAGCGAGCTAGATTACGTATGCATGAACTTAAAAGGCTAAAGCCAATACCTAACGGCGAGAGAGGCAAACCATCAACTTTGCATAACATGGCAAAGTGAAGATGTGAAAATTACATCTTCACGAAAAACAAACAATGAAAACTGGCATTTGGTTGTCATTGATGCCTCAAAACAGAAAAAACAATCAAGCAGATGAACGCAGATTTTGATGCCTCAAAACAGAAAAAACAATCATGCAGACGACATTGCTGCTTTCGCAGAATGAACGAAGTAAACTGACAAATCTCATGGGATATTTTCTACTAGTACTACCATTTTGTGAAACCCACCAATATTGACCAGAGTGACCAAGTTATACAAGCAATGCAAGTAACAGAAGGAAATTAGCATGAAATTTCTCACTGAAAAGAAATGTAATTTGATTATTATCATTATCAGACAATTTGAAGTTTTTGCACATACATCATGATTGATCATACCAAAAAATAATCACATTAAACACTTGATCATACCAAATCTAGGATTATACACACTAATGATACAGAATTGTGCTGTTCATAACATCTCAGGTACTTGTGTTATGCCATATCTTGACACTCCGACCAACCATACAGGCATACAGAATACAGCTACTTGACTCAGTGCTATCACAACATGGACACTCTGACAAGCATGTAGACACTTGTGACACTTCATTTTACACCTGAACCATGGTTTTTGTTTCCATAATTTAGCCAAGTCCTACACTTGAACACGAACGCCTGACACGAGTACTCAAGTAAATAATTGACTAATTTTGAAAAACCATACAACAGTTTATGCAAAAATCAAGCTTTGGTACCGAAAATCTCCCTCAGAGAAATCATAGTACCAGAGACACCAAGAATAATGCCTATGACAACAATTGCTCCATCCAAGATCAGCTTTCCCAAACCTGCCTCATCCTTGAAAACAATGAAGTGGAAGAGAGCAGGGAAAACAAAACCCAACGCAACACACACACTGCTTCCAACAAGTGACAAGAAATCAGTGAAATTGGGCACAAATAAGGCAATCAAAGCCACCAAGAAAATCACCAACCATCTAGACCACAAGGTATAGCTTCCTTGACTAAGCCTTCTATCCAACACCTCATAAACTGGGTTCATCATCAATGGGCATGAGAAGAAAAGGTTAATACACAGCCCTAGTTGCACCAAAGTGCTCAAAAACCCAGTTCCGATGTTGGTGGTGATTATATCCCTTGTTTCGTTCCCAAAAGCAAGGTAACCCATTACTCCAAATATAGCATACAAGATGGAAATCATTCCTGTTGCCAAACCCAACACCAATCCATAGTTCTTCTTATTCCTCGCCTCGCTTTCCAAGGGCAAAACCATTCCAATCCCTTCAAACGAATAAGTACAAACACCAACACAATAGAAGAACACATTCCACCCTCCAAATGCCTGAACAACAGGCCTATTACTAGCAATAATAACTGCATCTTTCCCCAGCACAACACCCATTGCTCCAAGTTGCACAACATCAGCGAAAATACTCAAAGGGGCTAAATGGGTCAATGTTGGAATTGAATTCAACCCTAATTGCAAAGGAAGACAACCCCAAATGTACCATTTTTTAGGGGTAAGACCCAGATAACTATGAGCCTGAGAATCAGTACTATTGAACAAATGTGCAAAAGTATTCGAAATAAATATCATATAACTAACACAAAAACCAGCTTGTGATAAAATTATCATAAAATCAACACATAATTTCCCAACTGATCCACAAACAGCAAAACCCAGATCACCAAACGAATTGATTTTCGAGTATTCATTAACAGATTCAATCTTTCTTCTAGTATAAACCAATAACATCATACAATAGTAGGTTAAAAGAGCAATTGAAAAGAGGGTAATCATACCAAACAACCAACCCGCTTTCATGAAAGTATAAGGTAAACCCAGAACACCAGATCCTACAACAGCAATAAAAATGTTTGCTAAAGTTTTGAACCCAGAAGATTGCTTTGATTTACCTAAAAGTGGGGTATCTTCTCTTGCAATTGGGATTGAATTTGAGCTTGATCCTGCTTCATTTTCATTCTTCCTAAACCCCATATTGTTTTCTATCTCAAAAAAATCCCAGCTTTTTCTGAATTTAAAGGTTTATGGAACTACCCAGATAAGAATTCAGTGGTTTTGAATTGTGTCTTTTTCTGGGAAGATCACAAATTAAATGAAATTAAATTTTAGGGATTTTAATTTGAGTTGATGATAATTTGGGATAGGGGGATGAAATTGAAGGGATTAGGATTTTGGGGTTTGTATTTCTAATGAATGGAATTGTTGGAAATGTGATACTGATTACAGGCTAATGATAGGTAAGTCAAACAAAAACCTTTTTGGCGTATGTATGTAGGATTGGTACACTGTCTTTATCAAGGGTTGTAATTTAATTTGGTATAGTGTTACAAATATTATTTTTTTTTAAATACTTGTATTTAAATTTAGGGAAGAGAAAAAATCAACGATATGATATAAATACTCCATAAGATTTTGCCTGAATTTATAATTAATGAAAAAAAATAAAAATGATTGCAATATGCCAAGAGACAAATGAGGAAAATATCTCACATTTGTAGTTAAGAGTAAAATGGCACGTCAAAAGTTACTCCTTAAAGAATGGTTACAAATTATTTCATTTGGAAATACTGTGATTTTCTATTTTTTAGTTGTTTTTTGTTTTTCAAAATCACATAATATATGTTATATAATGAATAAAAAATTAGTTTTATTAAATTCATGGTAATTTTGAAAACTGACAATAAAAAAGTGAAAACACATATTTCTTGTTTCCTGTTTTTGGTTTTTTGTTTTCAAAAAACCCGAAAATAAAAAACAAAAAATGATGTCAAACAAGCCCTAAAAAGTCAATTATGTTTACTAGTTTTATCATGAAAATTAAAAAAAATAAAATTGCTTGAAATTTAATTATAATTACTGTTAGGAGAAGGGTAAAAAAGTTGCAATATCAACATGAGGAAAGCTATTCCAAGTTTCCAACATGTCAAACATGTGCTATGGACAGCCGTCATCTATTGGCTTTTAAGAACAGCAAAACCTCATGTCCTCATGTGATATTTCAAGTATTTATTTGCAATTACAATACTTGAAATATTTTAACATCCTATTTTTGTAAGAAGCCATGCAAATTTTTATTTATTTATTCCTTTTTTTCTATTAGGTGGGGGGGTTGTTTGGTTTGGTTTGATTTGAGGGGCAAGGGAAACGACCATACTAAATCGCAATCTTTCACATGTAAACTAGTCTAGTTATGTAAATCAGGGTCTTGGAGAATGAGGGGAAGAGATAAGAAAATTCTCACCTTAGGAGCCATAACTTGGAGGAATCAAACTTGATGGTCATTAAGTATAACTCCTACCAACTACACTAAATACTATTTGGTATAGAAGCAAGGCAAATGGTTGTATCAAAAGGAAAACATATTATCTCGCATTAAGAAGCATATAGTGGAAAAAATGAATCAAGCTTACACGTAATTTATGTCTTTGAATAGCAAAGCAAAAAGTATTGTATTGATTGAAGTGTCATACTGTAATAACTAATAAGTAGAATAACAAACAAAGATCATAGAAATGGACTTACGTAAAATGCTTAGTAATTTTGGTATGGTTCAATTATTTGGCAATTACTCGTAATAATCAACTCATAGAGGAATGAGGCTCGCATACTCAAAATTATTTACTCATACAAAAACTAAGGTTAGCAACAAAAAACAAAAATCAATCAATATACTCCGTATCTTGATGTTTTGTTTTTATCATCGTTTGAAAAGAATAGCCCTAATTTTAAGAGTGGGGGGTAAGAACCTTCAATTCAAGAGTATGATCCATAAAAAGAAGTTGAACATTTTAGATTTAAAGATAAACTATACAATTTGGATGAAAACTACGTGATGTTGATATTACTGTATTATTTGATGAATAAACCAGAAGAAAATTGTCAAATGGCAAGATTATTTACATTAAATTTGTGACCTTTTATTGACTGACATGTTTGAAATTTTGAAATATGTTTTGTGGTAGTAAATTATTTGTATACGACTACTTCATTAGTAGCATATATACTATGAATGCAACATGGACGGTGGAAACTTGTCCCAGCTAGCTTGTTGCCTAAATTCGTCTATGTGTTGACTATCAAATATGAGAATCACACAAACCAACATCTCCCTTCCTTCTGAACCTGGAATTGGGAAATTTAAGAGATTTTGATTACTCTCAAAAACAGAGTTTCTGGAAATGTCCAAGACTATTTTAGAAGTCTTGCTGAAAGCTCAAAAGAACTTGACCTCGACTATGATCAACATGAAAACAACTTTGACTCGTGGTTTGGAAATTACTGTACTATCATTTAGCTCGGTGTATATAAATTAGTCTATAGCTGTGAATCATTCTAAGCTAGGGAATCAGTGGACTCGAGGGCTAAACTCCCCGGCTTATTTTACTTTGGTCGATGCCAAAATCTCAGGGTTTTGTACAACATTACTTGCATTGAGTTGATTTACATGACAAATTCAAGCATTGGTTGATGTTATTGTTTAACATCTCCCTCGTTACTCTTAATACAAACACAGCTCCCAATTTCGTGAAATTTACATGCTAAATTTGGCAATGGTTCTTCTCGAGGGCTAAACTCCCCGGCTTATTTTACTTTGGTCGATGCCAAAATCTCAGGGTTTTGTACAACATTACTTGCATTGAGTTGATTTACATGACAAATTCAAGCATTAGTTGATGTTATTGTTTAACATCTCCCTTGTTACTCTTAATACAAACACAGCTCCCAATTTCGTGAAATTTACATGCTAAATTTGGCAATGGTTCTTCTTGACTGCTCTAACTCAATCACATTCACACAAAAAACTCCAGGAACATAGGTTTTGAGCATGCTCTATCGTTAGACAAATCTAACCAAATGGATCACAATTCACCAGAAAAAGTCGAGTACACTACTATTTGCTAAGAATGTGAATTTTATCCAAGACAGTTCCATAGCTCGACGAAATTCAGCTGTCACCCCAATTCAAGCACCAGGAAAATTCTCCAAGGCGCTCGAAACTTGACATTGCCAGAGAATTCATCAAGGGCTCAAAGTTTGGTACCAATCACCAAACTATTACAACACACTTGTAAGTTTTTGTGAACAATCAAGGAAATGTTTAAGGCTGCAAATGTTTGTTTGGGTTCACCGTTCTTATCAGAATTCAGAAATGGTTCTAAAACTCCACCATTTCTAAGCTAATAAAAGTATCAAACCAATATACTACCGTTTCATATTATTTGCAACGATTTGACATTAAACGAAGGTAGTATATGGTTTCAACCTGAGGTTTTCCTATTTCTGAAACATTTCTCTTTGAAATTCCCTGTTATTTCCACATTCATTTGATGATCAATTAATCAAGCCAACCAAGAAAGCCAAAAATTCCAATTCACAACCAAAATGATCCAAAACATCAAGATTATTGAAATATATAGAGTAATTTTGTCCAAATTACATGAAAAAACATGTAACAAGCCTGTAATATTGTTATAATCAAAATACAAAATTCAAAGGATGAACAACAATAACACAAAATCAAAAACCCTAACCCTAAACCCCCAAAAATTCAATCTAATTCTTTAACAACATTAATTCCCATAGATTTAGCAGAACCAATAATAGACCTAGAAATACTTTCAATCGACAAATGTTGACAACCAGGATCTTCCTTCTTAATAGCAGCAATTTCATAAACATGCTTCAAACTCACCGAAGAAGCGACGACATGTCCAGGTCGACCACTAGCAGATTCAACACCAGCAGCTTGTTTCAGAAACCATGAAACCTTCGGAGATTTGATGACGTAATCGAATGTTTGATCTTTGTATGCGATGAGGGAGACAGCCATTGGAGCTTCGGGTTTGTACTTTTGAGTACGAGCATTGAAATCCTTGCAAAACGCCATTAGATTTAGCTTCAGTTGACCTAGGATTGCTCCGACAGGTGGACCGGGTTTGGCGTTTCCTGCGGGGATTGTTAGTCGGACTGTCGCCATTACTGGTTTTCTTACGAGGTCTTTTGCTTTTGCTGCCGCCATTGTTGGAGAATCAGAAAGAGGAGAGAGAAAGTGAGTGAGTGAGAAAGAGGGGTTTTTGGTAGAGGAATGGGAGAATTGTGGTTTCTGGTTTGGGCTGTGATTGTTTGTTTTTTGGGCTTGGTTTTGGGCTTAATTGAAGCCCAAATTAGTATTGAACAACTTTGAAGTCGAAAAAAAAGCTTTGTAAATTTTATGATGCATCTCAAAAGGTGATGGTTAAGAAGATAGTTTTATAGAAGTAACTTGGGCCTTGTTTGGGAAATGGTTGTTGGTGGTTGGCGGTTGACGGTTGACTGTTGGCTGCTTCACTTGGCTTGTTTAACCAGTTGGAATGTTTGGCTATTTATAATGCCTTTTGAAATTGGCTGTTTATAAAAGTGTTTGGTAAATTAATTGTTAGTTGTTGGCTGTTTATTAGATAATTTGTGGGCCAACAAAAAAAAGCTACTCAAAGCAGCTTTTTTATTTTGGCTTGAAAGCCAGTTTTTTCGCTGACTAAAAATCCAATTACAAAACACAATTTTTGGTTGTTTGACCACATAAAAAAGCCAAAAGCTAACCAAAAAGCCATCAAAAAACCATTTACAAAACATGGCCTTAGTAAGTTATAATAGTTAGATTAGGTGTTCGAGTTGTGAATGAATGAGTCAGTGACATACATGTTAGATTAGTTTGTTTGCTAGCTCGATTAGTTGGTTAGTTATGTTCGGTCATTTTGGATCAGGTTTGTTTTTTAAAAACTCTTATACATACTATGGAGTATATAGAATTAAGTATACTTGCTTGCATTTTGTATAATATAAATTAATGAACATGTTTTTTATATATTTTTTTATAACGCAGGTGTATAATGTATTACATCCATCTTATATATGGTGATCGACTTGATTGGTATGTTAATTTCAACCTATGCTACTCTTTTTTCTGTAAGTTTTTATCCAACTATACTAGAGTTAGTTTTGCCATTCCTATTTGCATTTTCAGGACAAAGAAAGCATGTTTAGAAAGATGGATGTATGATTCAGTGGTGGGATAGGGAATTGTTCTTAGAAGTTAGAATATCTGAGACAAGTACATAAATACAAAATGTCCTACAAAAGGTAAGAAATTGTGATTGCCTCATAGATTTTCCAAATATGACAAGTGTCCTCAGCTATCAAAAATCAAAAGTGGGAATATTTTACATACACCATATATTGTGGGGTGATCTAATATATTGTATGAAAATGAGTGTCCCCTTACTACAGACCTATAGTAGTTCGGAGTTTACTCTTCATAATTTGGTAGTTACAACTTTCTCCTATTTTTTTTAACTTAATAAATCATGATTTATTTTTTGTTTTTACTTTCTTTGCATTATTACTTTCTTTCACTGAAAATTCGGCTCCTTCCTTAAGTGGACCCTTATAATTGCTTATTAGTGGAAACATAATCAGTTGAAGAAATATGGATTAAATAACATACTTCGTATCTGTTAAATAAAGATATGGAAGCTCACCCAGTTAGAGAATCCGTCACTCATATATATACTTTGTATAACACTAAACAGTAACCTTGTAAAAAACATCAGTTTTTATTGGAATAATATGTATAATCATGATATAATAAAACTTGGTTACTTTCATTATTGAATTATTAGTCATTATTTGAACTAATTTTATCTAGATTGAAAGATATCCTAAAAAAGATTCTCAAGAGATCATAATAATGTTTGTCATATAAGTCCAATTTCTTGTTAAGAGGTGCTATTCCAGAAGTTGACATTGAACTATTGGAGTATTGTAGTGTGGCCTATGGGAGAGTCCATTATGTTTTGGAAGGTGGGGTTACTTAATTAGGAAGTTGACATGGGAGAACATTTTCTTATCTTATTCTTTGCTCTTTATAAGAGTGCACTTTTAAATTTTAATAGATGATGTAATGCTTTTATATATATATTTTGTCTTTTTAACAATATTTGATTGGAAAATAAATTTTTTGTAGAGCATTATCATAGGCATATTGTGTTTGTTCCTAATTTCCAAGTTCTGTTACATCAAAAACATGTGGTAAAAATGCAAAATGCACCTACCTTAGTTATCAACTATCCACATTAGTACAAACAACTAATGACATTTCCCTTTCTCTCTTCTTTATTTTATTGCTAATGTGAAGTATCAATTTTTCTATCCAATGGCTCAAGTTATTACATAATTGCAAACTTATCGTGCTATAGCCTGAACTAGTTACATTGTACGGCTTATTATGGTCCGAGTTTTGTATAATTACAAAGAAGCAACCTATATTGATTTCGTAATCTACTTGTTTTCATATATGCTATAATTAGATTTTTGAAGTGGAACAATGTCAATTTGTAGCTCTATCACCTTTATATCATAATCTCTTATTTCATGCTTGCTCTCTCTTTAATGTCATGTCAAATTTGCATCCACATTTCTTAAGTTGTGTCATTGTGTGGCCTACATTACAATTCAACAACACACTTTCACTCTCTTTTTACACATGAGTTTTCTTTCAAATTATACCTTCTGGACTAGACCAAGTAAAGACACTCTCTACAGTTTGTTTTTTTTTTAATTATATTCACAAATAATTGTCTTGCATTAACTCTTCCCACTTATTTTCTTTTTAGAGGATTTTATTTTATTCTAGCCTTTCCTCTTCTTTTCATATTTCCTCCTGATATTAAATACAGAATTTACTTACACTTTCTGAAATTTTATTACTGATGTTTATGAAGCTTAGATTAATAAATATCTCAAATCTAGCTACTTGCTATTAATGGTAATGTATCTTACATTTCTTTAAGGTTCAATATTTTATTAAAAAAAAAAAAGTTTTATGAAAAGTGTTCAAAAAAAGAAAAAAAGAAGAAAGTTTTATGAAAAGAAACATGCATCTGGTTTAAAAATTTTGAAGTAATTGAATTAATAAATGTTTGCATGAGTTGTTTATTCTTCTTGTCTTATGATTTGAACTTTATCCCTTGAAAATTAAATAAAAATTTGAACTTTATGCATTTATTCAGTTTGCTGGGTATTCTAAACCATGTGCTTCTCTGCTATCATTTCTCTCAGATTTAATAAACTTTTCTTTTATTGCTGCAAATAAAATAAAAACTGGGTTTTTATGGGGTTTAGTGATTTTATATAATTGTCTATTTAATTTATTACTCTAAAAACTGGGTTTAGTATTGTGCAGAAAGGTGGATAGATTTTTTGCTGATCCACCATGATTTTTAGGGTGCTTGGATTTTTGATATTATCTAGATTATTATTATCGGAAAAGGGGAAATTTTCTGCAAATGGGGTTGATACAATTAATACAAATCCTTCTGCAAGACCTGAAATTGTCAATATTGGTGCAATAATTTCATATAATTCCACAATTGGTAAGGTTGCAAAACTTGCAATTCAAGCAGCAATAGATGATGTAAATTCCTCCCCTCAAATTCTTCAGGGAACCAAGCTCAATATCACAATGCATGATAGCAAACACAGTGGATTTCTTGGAGCTGTTGAGGGTAATTTACTAAAACCCAGTTATTTTTGCTATTTATTAATATCATCTTATTAATTTTGTTTTTGTAATTACTGTTTTTGTTGCAAAATTGTTTGCATTTTACAAGCATTGATTTTGATTGGAATTGTATATTTGTTGTTGTTTTTATTGTTTCAGCAATGACCATTATAGATAGTGGTGTAGTGGCAATAATAGGTCCTCAATCATCTGTGATAGCTCATGTAGTATCTCAGGTTGCAAAGGGACTCCAAGTCCCTTTGCTCTCCTTCGCCGCCTCAGACCCAACTCTTAACTCACTCGAGTATCCTTTCTTGGTTCGGACAACCCAAAATGATCTTTTCCAAATGGCTGCAATAGCCGACATTTTAAGCCATTATGGATGGAGGGAAGTAACTGCTATTTACACTGATGATGATTATGGAAGGAATGGGATTGCTGCTTTAGGTGATAAGTTGGCTGAGAGGCGATGTACTATAAGCTATAAAGCACCTATGAGCCCTGACTTTAACTTAGAGGACATAAGGAATGTTTTGTTTGAGGTGTCCTTACAAGAATCTAGGATCCTTGTTCTTCATACTTACAATAACTATGGCCTAGAGGTGCTTGAGGTTGCTCGCTCTCTTCGTATGTTAGAAAAAGGGTATGTTTGGATTGCTACAAATTGGCTCAGCGATATAATAGATACAGATTCACCTCTTTCTCCAAGTGAGCTTGCCAATGTCCAAGGGCTACTTACCCTTCGAGTGCACACTCCCAGTTCGCAGCTCAAGAGAAATTTTGTGTCTCGGTGGATACATTTGGTTAGGAAAGAAAATGGAAGTGGTTCATTTGGGTTAAATAGTTATGGTCTTTATGCCTATGACACTGTTTGGATCCTTGCTCATGCATTAAATGCTTACTTTGATCAAGGAGGAAACATATCATTCTCGAATAACTCTTTATTAAGGCAGCTGAATGACCAAAACTTGCACCTTGATGCAATGAGCACCTTTGATGGTGGAGGTCTCTTGGTCTCCAACATATGGCAGGTCAAATTGAACGGGTTAACAGGTCGCATACAATATGACTCAGATAGGAACCTGATCAATCCTGCCTTTGATATCATCAATGTGGTCGGTACAGGTCATAGTACTATAGGATACTGGTCCAATTTTTCAGGTTTATCACTTAAGCCTCCAGAATCTCTACTCTCTGAAGCACCTAATCAATCCAGCTTAAGTCAAAAGCTGTCCGTGGTGATTTGGCCAGGTCAGACCTTAGAGAAGCCTCGTGGATGGGTTTTTCCCAATAATGGTAACCAGCTGAGAATTGGCGTTCCAAGGCGTATAGACTACCGTGAATTCATTTCATATTCAGACAGCACAGATTTATTCTCAGGCTACTGCATCGATGTGTTCGTATCTGCTGTTAATTTGCTTCCATACGCAGTTCCTTATAGGTTGATCCCCTTTGGAAATGGGAAAAATCATCCAAACATCAATGAGCTTGTTGAGAAAATTAGAGCAGGGGTAAGAATAGAATGTTTTATGTCTTTTAACCTTTTGTTAGTAAAGCATGAAAGGTACTATATCCTGATATACTCCTTTTCTTTGCCTTTTCAGGTATTTGATGCTGTTGTTGGTGATGTTTCAATTACTACTGACAGAACAAGGAATGCAGATTTTACACAACCATTCATTGAGTCAGGTTTAGTTGTTGTAGCCCCTGTTAGCACTGAGGAATCTCATGCCTGGGCTTTCTTGAGACCTTTTACTCCATTGATGTGGTGTGTTACTGGTGCATCTTTCGTCCTTGTGGGGGCTGTTATTTGGATTCTCGAGCATAAGTTTAATGATGAATTCCGGGGTCCACCCATAAAGCAAGTTGCAACAATGTTATGGCAAGTGCTGTTCACTTCTTTAGTTGCCTTAATTTACATGTTTAGATAGTATGTTATTTAATACAAGTATATGATTATGCTTTTACAGGTTCAGCTGTTCAACTTGGTTCTTTGCTCATAGTAAGTGAGACTTTTAAGCAGTAATGCGGTTTATGCCTAACAATGAGTGTAGTGATAATGAATTTGATGATTTATATATACTTGTTAATCTTTTACAGGAGAGAATACTGTGAGCACACTGGGCCGGCTTGTGCTTATTATATGGCTGTTCGTAGTTTTGATCATCAATTCTAGTTATACTGCGAGTCTGACCTCCATGCTAACAGTGCAGCAACTTACTTCACATGTCAAAGGAATAAATAATTTAATAGAAAGCAGAGAACCTATAGGATACCAAGCAGGTTCCTTTGCTGTAAATTATTTAAATGAGCAGCTCCATGTTCCTATGTCCCTTCTTGTCCCTCTTAACTCCGAGGATGAGTTTGCTGAAGCCCTGAAAAAGGGTCCCAGAAAAGGCGGGGTTGCTGCAGTCATTGATGAGAGGGCATATATGGAGCTCTTCCTCTCATCGAGATGTGAATTCACTATTGTTGGTCAAGAATTCACCAAAAATGGCTGGGGATTTGTAAGTATTACTTTCAATAAACTATTGAGTTTAGAGGATATGCTAATGCTATATTCTTGTCATACTACCTCTGCTGATGTACCTAATTTAGTATGCTAAGATTGATACACTAACATGCAAACAATTAACTGCTAGTAATCCTAAAATTTGGCTGACAAAGGCACAAAGCCTACACTAACATGCATTAAGTTAACTGCTAGTATGTACCTATTACTAGTATATGTTACGTTAATACTGTCACAATTATCATCTCGACTAGCTTGTCAGCTTGTTCAGGCCCTATCTATGTTCCCAGATAAGTGTTCAGAATTGCCTATTTATAACTTTCAATTCTTTTACTCCCCAGGCATTTCCCCAAGACTCTCCTTTGGCAGTAGACATGTCAACGGCCTTACTGAAACTCTCGGAGAATGGTGACTTACAGAGGATCCATGACAAATGGCTTAGAAGAAAAGCTTGCAGCTCACAGGACACAAAACTTGAAGTAGACAGGCTTGAGCTGAAAAGCTTCTGGGGCCTTTTCCTTATCTGTGGCATAGCTTGTGTACTTGCCTTGATTGTGTATTTTGCCCTTATTGTGAAGCAGTACCTCCGCCATTACACTCCTGAGGAAGAAGCCATTGGCCCGAGTTCATCTAGCTCAAAGTCTTCTCGTGTTCAGACTTTCCTGTCATTTGTTGATGAGAAGGAAGAGGAAATCAAGAAGCGGTCTAGGAAAAGGAAAACCGAGAGGAAATCAAGTAGGGGTTATGCATCAAATAGAAGCCTTGCAGAATTGTCAATGAGTGCTTCTAGGATTAATCATATGGAATTTTCCCCTGGTCGAAGTAATGGTGGGAACACTGAAGTGTAGATACATTACCGAGCTATTGACATCAGCAGAAGGGAAGTTGGGTAAATATAAGCATATAACTTCCTCTGCTGAATTTCTAGCTTTTCGCAACTTTTAATCTAACTGTACTCATATAGCTCATCTACTGATGTTAACAATCAGCAAGGGTGAGCGCAGTAGTCCTAACTATGATGATATTGTATCATATGGGAGAAACTGATGAAAAAAAAACTATAGACAACCTAGATTGATTTGTAAGCTTTTCTGAGTTTACGACTCTATGTCAATCCTGCACGGCTGCACCCACGCGTAATTACATCTGGGTGTAGGATGAAAATTGTACATCGTATTATTTAGACTTATATATATTTTTTTTCAATGAGAAAAAAAGTAGGTATCTCTCAACGTAAAAGCCATCCTTAAATTACTTAAATGCATATTTTAAACATTAAACATAAAAGTTGTATTTGCCATTATATAATTGGTCGTTTAGCCTTAGTGACTCTTGCATATTCGCTTGTTAAGTTGACAAAAGGTTTATATAATTTCAACCTATAAAATAATAGGTTATCTTTTTTGTTAGTCAAGGTAATGATGATGATGTCTTAGTCTAATTGTTTTAAACTGAGATCACTCACTAGTAATGATCACAATTCACAATGCATGAAGTTTATTACTGTGTATACCGGTGGTATGGGACAACCCCAAAAAAACAAACCAAGAAAAATACTACAAATCCGCAATACGTCAAGTGCCACTTTAGATATTTAGAGGAGCCAAACGCTTTTCCTAAATCTTGGGTTTTGTTCAGAAAAGTGGATGCTTCAGAGATTACAAACTAAAAAGATTGAAATAACTGACATGTGATCTATGGCCTATTAGTGTATATGGGTTATGGAAAAGCAGATTAGCTTAAAAAAAATATAGTATTATAGTAAAGTCAAGTTTTGGCAGGATTTCTATAAACAAAAACAACAACAGTAATTTATTAACAAGTTGAAGACATGGTGATAATAATTCTTAATTGAATGATTTTTTTATTAGAGATACTTTTCAACCACCTTTGAGGAATATAGCGTTAAAGGCAGACCTAAGTTTCAATGCCAAAATTTCATTTGAGATGACATCTCAATAACTCCTTACTACACATATAGTATGAAGCTACTAAGATGCCATAACTCTTTTTATTAAATTAAGAAACTCTTTCTATCTACTAGGTCACGATAATTCTTTCTATTTAATGTGACTATTACATTTTTTGAATGGTTACTTTTAGTGTTAACATTCATACCTTGACAAAAAGGTTTATAATTCGTTTCTTATTAAGCCTTTACGTCTTCTTCCTACGTGTGATTTCCACTAGTGAATGGGAGTTTTTTAAAAGGAAGCTATAATTTGACCCTTGATCCATCTGTTACAAAGCAACATTAAAATCGATTTAGCCTTCACTCAAATAACTGAAATCGACCATACGTAAGATGAATTATACGTGTGTAGGGGCAAAAGAAAATTTGGCATGAACTATATTGTGTACATTTGTATTAGATGCAGGACCATTAAACAATTACATCAAGAAACCCCCAAAATTTTAGTGCTCACCTAAAATCTCCAAATATCTTGTGATATTGATTATTGTACTACAATACAAGTCAACAAAAGTCATCTACCCTAAAAAAAAATTTAATAAATAAAATAAAAATGATTTACACATTTATAGGTGGAGGAGTATCTAGCATAGTACATGATGCTCTGCTTCCTTTCTTCCCCCTTCTTCCACTGAAAGTCAAATCTAGAATTACAGTCTTAAAATCCAACATCATATCAATGTGGAAGTTGCTTTCTTCCAAGAAAACACCTTTTGTTGTTTTACAACTTACAAATATTCCACCACTTCCTCCATTACTGGACCCACTTTTATATGCCCTTCATTTTTCTCCAATTTTCTTTTGCTTTCATCTTTGCAATCACATGTACTTAGAATCTACTTTACTTGTTTAGAATTTCTGATTTAAACTTATAACCAAATTTGGCAATTTTTAAAGGTAAATGTAGCAATCTTCTCTTTTTTATTTGGTACTGGTACTCTATTTTATTCTTGTTTATTCATGTATTCTTGGTGATGGTATTCCTTTCTTTTCTTAAGTCTAATAAATATGAAAAATTGCAGGTGAAGAACTTGGTTTTTAAATTTTCATTAGTGATTAGATTAGTGTTTAGCTGTTTACCCACCAAGATTATGAGGGTATTGTGGGTGTTTTTTGCTATTATTGGTGTTGAAATTGGAACATGGGTTATTTTTTGCAAGTGGGGTTGGTACTAATTTTTCAATAAGACCTAAAAATGTGAATATTGGAGCAATTTTGTCCTATAATTCTACAATTGGTAAAGTTGCAAAAGTTGCAATTAAAGCTGCAGTGGATGATGTTAATTCTTCCCCAGAAATTTTGAATGGAACCAAGCTCAATATTTCAATGCAGGATTGTCAGAGTGGCTTTCTAGGGATTGTTCAGAGTAAAGTTTTTATACTCAATTTGATCTTTTATTGGGTATTTGATTCTTGTTTTATTTTGATTGTTTATCATCTGATGTTGTTTTTTTTAATGTGTTTTTTCAGCAATGACATTCATGGAGAGTGATGTAGTGGCAGTAATTGGTCCACAGTCATCTGTAATAGCTCATGTAGTTTCTCAGGTTGCAACAGGACTGCAAGTCCCTTTGCTAACCTTTGCAGGCACAGACCCGACCCTGTCGTCTATCGAGTATCCGTTCATTGTCCCGACTACCCTGAATGATCTATTCCAAATGGCTGCTATAGCAGACATTGTGAGCTACTATGGATGGCGGGAAGTGACTGCAATTTACACTGATGACAACTATGGAAGAAATGGGGTCGTGTCGTTGGGTGATGAACTGTCTAAGAGGCAGTGTAGGATAAGCTACAAAGCACCTATTAGCCCTGAGCCAACCATAGATGACATTAGGAGTGTGTTGTTTAAGGTGATCTCAGAAGAGTCAAGGATTCTTGTTCTTCATACTTATGACAAATTTGGTCTGCAAATACTTGAGGTGGCTAGCTCTCTTGAGATGTTAGATAATAATTTTGTTTGGATTGCAACGCGGTGGCTCACTGATGTCATAGATACAAATTCTCCTCTATCTGCCAATGCACAGAATGATATTCAAGGGATCATTACCCTGAGACCTCACACTCCCATTTCACAGCCTAAGAAAAACTTCATGGCTCGGTGGAGCAATTTGGTTAGAGAAGCAGATAGGAATGCCTCGTTTGGATTGAATACTTTTGGTCTTTACGCGTATGATACTGTTTGGATTCTTGCCAATGCTCTAGATGCATATTTTGCTCAAGGGGGAAACATATCATTCTCAGATTATTCAGATGTTAATCATCTGAAGGGCAACAGCAACTTGCACCTTGATTCCATCCGTAGTTTTGATGGAGGAAACCTCCTACTCTCCAGCATATATCGAGTCAATATGACAGGGTTGACAGGCCATATTCAGTTTGATAAAGACAGATATTTGATCAATCCTTCTTTTGATATCATCAATGTTGTTGGAACAGGTCTTTACACAATAGGATATTGGTCAAACAGTACAGGTTTAACGGTTAAGCCACCAGAAGATCAACACTCTAAACCACCTAACCTAAGTCATCGGCTATTAAGTGTGATTTGGCCGGGGAAAACCACTGAGAAGCCTCGTGGATGGGTTTACCCGAACAATGGGAAGGTTCTCAGGATTGGAGTTCCTCGTCGTGTTACTTACCAAGAATTTGTATCATGTTTAGATTCAACAGAACGCACAAATTCATGCACAGGATACAGCATTGATGTGTTCACTTCTGCTTTAAATTTGCTTCCATATGGTTTTTCTTATACTTATATACCTTTTGGAGATGGGAAGAATAACCCAAAAATCGACGATCTTATTGAGAATTTGGCTAGAGGAGTAAGTGCACAATGTTTGATTTCTCTTAACTTTATACCAACATACAAAGTACATGGTCTTATAGCTTCTTTGTTTTTTTTTTTTTTTTTTGGTCTTACTGCAGGTGTTTGATGCTGTAGTTGGTGATATTGTAATTACCACCAAAAGAGCAAGACTGGTAGATTTTACACAGCCCTTTGTTGAGTCAGGTCTTGTTGTTGTGGCCCCTGTTAAGACCAAGGACTCTGATGCTTGGGCTTTCTTGTGGCCACTAACTCCAAGGTTGTGGTGCGTTACTGGTTTATCTATCATCGTGTTGGGAGTTGTCATATGGATTCTGGAGCATAGGTTCAACGATGAGTTCCGTGGCTCACCTCAAAATCAAATAAAAACAGTGTTATGGTTAGTGCTATACAATGTTCCAAGTACTTTTATTTTTTTGGGTTATTGAAGTCACTTTGAGTTATTTCTCAATGCCACTGTTAAACAATCTGTTTTGAGGGGGGAAAAGGCATGTTTAGTTTCTGCACAAGGAAAATGAAAAATGTAGGAAAGAAACGAAAATAAAGGTCTTTATGTCTTGCATGTTTCTGTTATATAACCAGAACTTATTAATCAAATTGGATTATGCTTTTGAATGCAGGTTCAGCTGTTCAACATGGTTCGGTTCTCAAAGTAAGTGAAATATTTTGACAGTTAATTATGCCTTTCAAATATGACTAAAGTAAGACCCCCAACTAACATATACTTGTATTCTACCTTATGCAGGGGAAACTGCTCTAAGTGTGTTGGGTCGTATCGTGCTATTCATATGGATGTTTGTAGTTCTAATTGTCAAATCAAGTTATACTGCTAGTCTGAGCTCTATACAAACAGTGCAAAAACTTGATTCCCCTGTCAAAGGGATTGAAAGCCTAATGACGAGCAAAGATCCCATTGGATACCAAAATGGTTCATTTTCTGAAAGTTATTTGCATGATGAGCTTCACTTTCCTAAGTCTCGGCTTATTGCTCTTGGAGACGCAGACGAGTATGTGGAAGCTCTCAAAAAGGGCCCTAAGAATGGTGGAGTTGCTGCAATAGTTGATGATATGACGCGCATAGAAACCTTCCTTGCAAAGAGATGTGATTTCACTATCAGAGGTCAAAAGTTTACCAAAAATGGAAGGGGATTTGTAAGTACCTTTTCCAATGACCATATACCAAATATACTAGGAATACTACCTCTGTTCTTTCTTTGAAGGCAAGCACAGTTTTGAAATACTTTGATCACTAATAATTTTGAAAGTATGTTAATGAAATTAATTAGTAAAATTGATAGCATAAGATCTATTTTAATTAGCTCTCCATAATATATCTTATAGTTTTTATCTGTGTTTTGATCTGTGTTAATGACTTAATGATATTGAGATTAGTTCAACCTAAGAAACAGTGCTTGTCTTATAAAAGGATACAGATTTAATATGTGCTATACAATACTGCTAATTTCTAGTGCTATCTGTTGGATGTGGCTAAATAAAATTCCTTTTCTCCTCTTAGGCATTTCCGCGAGGCTCTCCCTTGGCAGTAGACATGTCCACGGCCATATTGAAGCTGGCAGAGAATGGTGACTTACAGAGGATCCATGATAAGTGGCTGAAGAAAAGTGCTTGCAGGTCACAGGATACTAAACTTATAGTAGACAGGCTAGACCTGAAAAGCTTCTGGGGTCTCTTCCTCCTCTCTGGCATAGCTTGCTTTTTCGCTCTCATTTTATATTTTGGGCTTCTAGTGAGGCAGTACATGCGCCGTCAGCCACCCAAAGTGGACGAATCAGTTAACCAAGTGGACCTAGCCCAACAGTCCACCTGTCTCACGACGTTCTTCACATTTGTCAAAGAGAAGGATGAAGAAGCCCAAACCTGTTAAGAATAGCTAGGTAGACAAAGGCAGCAGCAACAACTGGACCCTGGTACATATAATCATTAATGTATATACCTGATATTCTAGCTCCTCAGTTTTTGATTCTACTGTGATCATGTATAAGTATGAATTATCTAAGAGAAGGTTTGGCAAAAGTCAAATAACAAAGTAGTAGCGGCAGTTATGTATTAAAAGATGAAAATTTTTCATGTGAAAGAAATTGGTGCAAGAAATGCACCTATGTATATCGCATCCGAGTTTATTAGAACTACACATATGATATTAAGTCTCATTCATACTCTTTGTGATGCTTGTTCCTTGTCATACCTCATCAGAGAAAGATGATATCCAATTGTAAAGTTGATTTGTAAGGAAGTAACAAAGCTCAGACTATTACTCTTTAGGCACCTCTATGGGTAAAATTAAAGAGTTAGTTTGTTTCATACATTATCTTTACTTTTTGGCCATTCTTATTCATTGAACAAAGATGAAATTGCCATTAACTTGTAGCTACCATTAGTAGATCAAGACCGATAAACACAAAATATGTGGGGGTATTATGTTCGCATGTAATATAGGACAATGACAAGATGTACAAGTTAGATTAGTTTAAAACACGAGAAAAGTTTGTGAGCCACAAAATTATATGTAATGTGAAATTGTGAAGTAGCACTTCTATCAGTTTTTGTCCTATGAATTATATTATTAACCATTCTTAATTCTAGTATTCTATTTGCGCTTTATCTTAATTTTATGCAGAAGTGGAGACAAAATAAAGACACTATACTTGCCCTGATAACTTTGATTCTATGCAGAAGTGGAGACAAAACAAGTGGAGACATTGAGAACAAGTGACAAAGCTCATCTTCTGTAAAAAAATGACCTTTCAGTTTCTGAAGAGCTCTGCGCTTTTTTCTTGCTTTATACTGTGTGTGTGTGTTTGTGTGTGAGGGAAGAAATGGAGAGATGTACTTGTGCAATCCGCGGATCTATACCAGATTGTTATGTTCGTCGTCAGTATTATACGAACAAAGCCATTTTCTGGGCAGCAGCTAGAATACCCATGCACTTCAATCAATTATTCCATTAACTTTCCCTGTCAAAATTCTTTTTAGTTTGTACATTGTTGTTTAAAATTATAATCCATAAACTACACAGAGACATGTTTTCTGAAACATAAGAAATACAAGAAATTCAATTTATACAGCAGAAAGGGCCACAAAGAGCTCATACACTAATAGACATGACTGAGAATTTAAACAAAGATAACATAAGAATTAACACACTATAAAAGAATTAACAAAGATACTATAAAAGCGTGTTTGTGTTAAGTGAGATAATCTGATTAAAGAGTAAAGGGAACTGCATACCTGCAAACTAAACTGACTGGAAAAGTGAAATCTCCTGCAGAAGACCTGAATAATGCTTGCAAGATCAGGTCAATTGTGATTGCAGATACAAATTTTGCACATTTAGCAATTACCTTCATTTTTACTTTGCTGACCTTAGAGACGAGACACTAATACAACCATAACCACCGAGCATGAGTCCTACCATCGTGTTTATCAATGAGGTATGTGGAAGATTAGACGTACACAATCTTACTCCTTACCAAAAGAGGCTGATTGAGAGAATACTTATGAGAAGAAACAAGAGTTCTGAAAGAGAATTGGTTTTAAATTAAAATAATGACTAAAACAACAGTTAAACAATTTCTTCAGGGGTTGCATCCGGTCATCTAGAAATGATCATTGTTTCCAAACTTCAAAACCAGGGCTCTAAAACAACTGGAGTGCCAGAAGGCAGAAAGAGAAAGTACTGATCAGATGGTCCAAATAGCCAGATGGAACACTCTTTCAAGTCTTCAAAAAACAGACAACAAAAGGAATAACAAAAGAAAAGGTGGAAGCTTTGTGCTCAAAATTGACATAAACAATAAAATAAACCATTACATTACATCTGCTATATAAATAATGTTGTTGTATACATTATAGGGCAATAATATCAGGAATTTCATTTACATCTGAATTGTTTAAAGATAGTTGAATAAACACACTGATGTGGGTATGTACATGCTACAACACTTAAATCCACTGTACTGCTAGGCAGATCAAAGCACACTGTCTTGAATATATTTCTGAAACCATTTCTCAGATCTGCAGAATTTACTAACCACCTTATAAACTTCAATCAATAGTCGGGGAAATCTGTTCATGAAGTACTCATCAAATCCATCAGGGACTGATCCCAGAAGTCCCTGAAATATCAATTAAAGAAGAAATAAGTACCAGAAAGTATAATAGAGGAGCAGAACTTCCGAATCTGCAGAGTCTATTCAGTAAACAGATAAGAATTGCAAACCTCATCTCAAAAAAAAAAAAAAAAAAAAAAAAAACTATGAGTATTCAGTGAAAAGGTGAGAGAAGGCCATGAATGAAGATGATCAAAAGGCAACTTTCATCATCGCAAAAACGAACAACCAATGCAATTCTATCTTAAAATAATGCTCAAATCCCACTATGATCAAATCCTTGATTTGTCTTCACAACTGAACACAACTACTGTGCTTCACATGATCAAAATCCTACTAGGGTGTGTAATCTAATACTATTAATCTGCTCACACGTGACTGCATAAATTACTTGTAAATTCAAGATCTATTGTAATATTGCTAATATCTCCAACCACCCCCCCCCCCCCACAAAAAAAAAATGTTGCATAAATAGACATCAAGAGAACAGGATGAAGATTATAATTCATAAAGTGGAAGCTGTACCTGAATTTCAGCAGGCAGCTCTCGATAATGATTCAGCTTATTTCGTATGACACGCAGCAGGTCTCGGACACTCTCATACTTGTAACGTCTGTAACGGCCAATATCATTGATAAATTGTGGCTCCAGCTTTATATTCCATTTGGTACCTATAGCTGTAGGAGCAATACTTTCCAAATCTTTTAAGATACTTGAATTTGCCTCTCTGTCTTCCAATTCAACTCTATCACTAGCATCATGTAGAAATGATAAGCGCATTTCACTATTCCAAAAGAATGGATGGTGTAGAACCTCTGGTGCTATAGGCCTGACAACAATGAGAATGTAAGAGAAAGATCAATCAAAAGATAAAAAGTAAAAGGGGATAAGACAGGTCAAAGATAAGGCTAATTAACTAATTATCTTCCAGCTTTGTACCCTTGTTTAGTTCAAGAAAGAACAAACAAGATCTGTGTCTAATTTGGAATCATTTAGAAGGCAAGAAATGACGTGAGAACAACAGATCCCTTCTTTGTGTTTGCTTAAAATTGTGTATGATCTTACTAGGTAAAAACCCATTACCATAAGTCCTACCACATTCCCCAAAGTTCTTCACCCCCACTTTGTAGTTTAGGTTGAGGGAACCCATCATCGCCAAGGACGCCAGCACCCATCACGACTAAGGTACCATTTCACATCTGAACATTATGGTCACCTAAAACCACAACACTACCTTAAGAAACCACTATCCAATCACAATCAGTGACAAGTGACAATCACTACCCAGCAATCCAATCCAATCCCAGCTTCAACACAAGATTTTTGCATGAACTTAGGAGTTGGAACCGACAATGAATAGAAAGATAGTAGGTGGATTCCATCCATCATCTACCATGTTGGATCCTTTCAGTCAAGTTGGATCTGAAAACAACTTCTCCCTCTAACCAGGTGGAGATGGCTGTGAAGAGTATTAATGGATATGCAGGATGGCAGGGTGGTATGAGGAGCTGGTTGGACTATCCAGGATGTGTGACATGCTTCTCTGCTATCATCTATGGTGTGAACCTGGAGGCTGTTACACTAAAGATGGTGGCAATAAAAGTAGCTGAGAATTATGAAGATGGGAAGGCAACTAGGCAAGTAGGGGGGGGGGGGTATTATGTCAGTATGGGTTGGTGACCTTGGTGTACAATATAAATCTCATAAAGAATAAATAAGGGTAAAAATAATAATAACAATATTAACTGCTCCCCCATTGGTAACTGAATTCAGTTCTTCAATAGTAAAAGCATAGTATTGAAAACCAATTTATTGACGCGAGCTTGAATTTACTTACTTTCAATGTCAACGCATAGTATCAACGTCAAAGATTCACTTACTTTCAAGGCAACATTTATCTAGAGATAGCAATCTATTTCAGATAAACTTTATATGTGGAATATATATGTACGTCATGAGAAAGGTAATTATACGGTCAAAAGACAATGATTGCACACAACAAAGTAAACAAACAAAGGATTGTAAGTTAGGCAAATGCTAAAATCCCACCACAGTAGTCAATAGAAAATAATCCAAGGGATACATGTTTGGTGGAAGTGCTAAACCACATTGAACTCACCTCATTTGAGGGTTTGGTTGCAGTAAACGAGAAAAGAGATCATGTGCTTCCGGCATATCCTCCACCAGATTAAAATCCACTCGGTTCCTTATTATATTGATATCACGTTCAAGTCGATCACCGAAAGGATGTCTGCCACCAGTAACACAGTAAAAGAGGACACAGCCTAAGCTAAACATATCCAAAGCCCGTGTTTGGCGTTCATGAAGTAACTGTTCAGGAGCTTGCCAACCGGAACTTCCATTACCTAGTCATTAGGCATTAATTAGAAAAGACTCAAGTAAGTTTACGAACAAATGCTGGATATACAACATAGTTTACTCCTAGCAAATCAACTTGGATACAAATATACCCATATAGACTCATGGGGAATTTCTCCTAAAACCTCTACACGATTATCAAATTCTTTTCAATCCGGGGCATGCTGAACAAGTATACAGTAAAGGTCTCCGGTAGCACCATTAAAGATAACAAGTTAAATAAACATGTTCATGCAGTAAATACGCACAACAGTGCATGTGAGGATATTATGCCAAACACTATATAGAGTTGATCAACTGGTTGTATGACTTCTAATTGAAGTAAATGGTAATGATAAATGAATTTCCAAGTAGATGATGCATGATACTTATAAAGCAACCTTTTTACGAGATGATGCATGATACTTATAAAGCAAAGTCAGTGCAAACACTACAGAAGCAATAGACCAGACTTCCTACCAGTAGCATGATGACCTAAAGAAGACATATCTGCAGGAAGCCTCTTGCTGATCCCCATATCAGAAAGCTTTGCACAAAGGGATTTTTCCTTGTTTATCAGTACATTTTGTGGTTTTAAGTCGCGGTGAATTATTCCCAGTTCATGCAAATGAACAAGCCCAAAAACCACATCCCTGCATTAGAAACCAACACATAACATAGAATCGAACGTCAAAAATCAATAAAATGCAAAGATGCCAGAAAGTTACTAGATCACACCAAACTCCTAAAAAAACTTGATCCAAATTTCATTATTGAGCTAATGCATCAAATTGCAAACCTATTGCACAATGGCTTTCTTAAGTATCCATGGTATACAAAAGGTGGTTATAGGCAACAGGATCCTTAATTATTATACACAATGAGTTTCAAATTTTAGTTAAGAATTAGGTTCTTAGTGCCCCTTAAGGTGAAACAAATATCAAACCAAACACTTCCCATTAGAGAAAAACTACCACTCGTGTCTTATGCAAAACATTTAATCAATACTCAATATATGACTGAACTTAACACGGACTACAGCATTTAGATATGCATGATAGACAAGAGTTTGTTCCCACCTCATTAGTTTTACCAATAAGGCAGAAGGATAGCCATTGCCTTTCCACAATTTAATGTCTTGCATGGTCGCCTTCACGGAAATCAACCTGGCTTTGTACTCTGTCCTTCCACGCAATGATTTGTCATAGATAGACATAGAGTGATGGGAGGGATCCGTATATGACTCAATAAGATCATATAAACTGCAACAACAAAATTCGAGAGAAAGATACACAAAATCATGGTCATGCTCCATGCCATACCATCGAACAATATTCGGATGACAGTCGGATGCAATAAGGTTTTGAATTTCTTTGAAGGCCACATCATGATGAGCCTGAACCAAGCGTTTCACAGCCACTTTCCTTCCTTCATAAGCCCCCTCATATACGACAGTACCATTGCTTCCTATTGCAATTTCTCTATTGGATACAAACAATTTACCAATTGTGTGTCCATCTGTCTCACCCTGCAAAAGACTATTGAGATTTGGCCAACATCTAACAGTCTTTTCATAATGCAGACCTTCCTCTAAGCCCGCTATGTTCTTCACTGATTTACGAGATCTTTTCTTTTTGGAAGATACTGGTTGAGGAATCAACCTAGACTCTACATCCAACTCAATACTTCCTGTTTCCACTGCAGATTTTTTATGGTAAACAAAGCCAATGAGAAGGAGAGCAAGAAAGACACAATACCATGGAATATATCTCCTTCGTAATATCCATAATCTGTCATGCCTCCCATGAGTTCCCGAATTAGATTCTAGAACTTCACGCGATGGGCGTAAATGGCCATGAGTTGGTAACAAGATCCCTTCCTTGTGAGTAGATGAGAATTTATCGTCACTATGCTGTGAAGGAAGCATTTGACTTGGAGCACCAACTGGAAGCATATTACGATCGTTCATGGAACCAGGTAAGCCATCTAGTTTAACAAAGTACTCAAACATACTCTGCTTGCGAAAACGGCGTACGGGAAATTCATATTCGCAAGGAAATGAGACAGTCCTAAGAGAATCAGAGCCAGAACCCATTTTACGGTCCAAATTCATCAAAGCTCCGTCAAGCAACTGATCAGTCCCTCTACATCGAACTTTGGCTTTAAAAAAGCCAACTGTTAGATTCCACAGTAGTTTGTCAAATGCTTTAGTTGAAAGTGAATAATCTATTCTTTCAATGTATAGCTCCACATCAGAACCTTTCGCACTTGAAGAGCTATAAGTTTCTAAATCACTTCTTCCTTCAGCAGAGGAAGTCTCTGCACCCCATTGTGGCACCTTACTGGATACAGATTTTCCATAATCATGAATGAGTCTTCCAGACCAAGGATCAACCTTGAAAACTGTAGAATGCATGGATCCTATAGTAACTTCATCATCCTCATATATTGGTGTTTTATTCACATAATCTTGAATAGTACCTTCAAGTTTCTGCACAGAGAAAAAAACTTTGGCTTTATGTGTGAATTGATCAGTAATGACATGATATATGTAGTACAATAGTATACAAACAACAAGAAGCTGTAAAACTTGAGAATTGCAAAACCTCCTCAACAATTTATGCTTCACTTATCTTTGGGTTCTTGATTGGAAGAAATATAATTACATAAAAGAGAAGAGAAAGACAAGTATTCCATGCTTTAATATCAAATACTTTAAAGGAAGAAACCCCTAGTAGAATTTGGGTCTTCTCCTTCCCATATATCTCTATCTTTAATTTCAGTTTGGATTGTGAAGGTTAAAGCTGCTTCAATAGGGACATTGTGAAAATTCAATAAATTGCTGTAATTACAACTTATAGGTGGTGTTGTATAAGGGAATTGAGGGTGGGATTGGGAGTTTGAATCCCAACTAAGAAAAATTCCCTTGTTTGTTTGATGGGATTGGGAATGAGAATAGATGGGGTCAATTCCCGCCATTTTATTACCTAGTGGGGGTAGGTAAAAAATTGATGGGAATAAGAATTGGTGTAAAATGACATTTTAGCCATTAATGAAAAGGATAGAAGAGAAAAATTAGTAAGGATAGTTTATAATTTTGTCATTTATGATTTTATTTCCTTCATTTTCCCATCCACTACCCAAACAAGGTATTGGCATATTTTCATGTGATACCCAACAAACAATTTCTAATCCCAATCCCACATTTTAATCCCCAAATTCCCATTACTACATTCCAAACGCCCCCACAAGGGAGTTCTAATGCTACCTTTGTTCCTTTTCTTTCTTTTTTTTTTTCCTTTCTTTTTTGTAACTACTCACTTCCCATTTATGGTTTTTTTTTTTTGCTTACTTAATTCCATTTGTGGCACAATCCATTTACCATTGTACCCCTCTCACCCACATTATTTACACCTTTATACACTATGGCCCTATTCTCTTCACCTTATTTTTGTTAAATTGAAATTATTTTTGCCCAAATAAAATAGTTTTTTTTTCTTTTTTAATTAATCTTAATTTTTTTTATAAAAAAAACCAATCAGAAGGTGACACGTGGCAAGTCACCTTCTGAAACAGGTTACCAATTTTACAAATCGGTAAAAGGCTTGTTTTGAGCAGATGGGGGTTAAAGGTGGGATTGTTTTGGGATTTCGAAAAGGTGGGATTATTTTGAGCAGAAAACCCAAAGGTGGGATTATTAGTTTCCATTTTTCCTTTTTTATATAGTGTTACACTTTTAATCAGCACATAGTTTTAGGTGAATTAATTGACTTAAATATAAAAAGATGTAAGTGTGGTAGTTGGGGGAGGTTTTAAAAAATTAAGAGAAGACAGTGGAGTTAATATTTTATTAAAAAGTAAGGGATGTAAGAGGGAAAGAAATAAAAAAAATAATAATTATTAAAAAAAAGTATTAGTGGATTTGAATGGGGACTATGAGAGGAGAAATATATGTTACTCACTTAAAATTCCCTTGTTTGTTGGAGGAGAATGGAGAATTTTGCCTAAAAAGGAAGTGTAACACTTTAAAAAAAAAAACAGTTGCATTTGCTAAGTGTAACACTTAAAAAACCGGAGAGAGTAACATAAAAGTTATGAGCAAAAGAAGATACAAAGTTCTTCACCTTATATTGCTAAAGAATCAATTAAAACTACAAGCACACACCGTAAACCTAGCAAAGAATTTAAAGTGAAAATCCATGACATGCTATATGATAAAATTAAAACAAGCACATTGTATAACATGAGAAGAATAATGAGGGTTAGAAAATATGACCAACCAATTTTCCATAGTCATAATTCAGATACAACTCCCAGTCATCTCCACAGTCCATAAAAGAATATTTACTGCGTCTCACTGCTCTATCCTTTTCACCATCTTCTTGGATCGGAGTGTGATAAGACACATAAATAGGAGGCCCTGATAAGAAAGACCAAAGTACTTTTCTAGAATCACTATCTATTAAATAGACAGTGCCATTAAGGGCAGCTACTAACTCCACATCTTGTGTCCTGCAAAAATTTGATAAAGCACATAAGAGATATTTGAGGAAAAAAAGAACAAGGAGCTACAAGTATTAGATGGTAAAATATCCAAGTCAAACCAGACAGAGGGATGGGAGGGAGGAGGTGGGGGAGGGGAGGGAGGTTAAACAACCAAAAAAAGTTTCACTCCGATTCCTTTGTTTGTCTTTTGAGAAGGGGTCAATACTAAATGAACAACATACAGGAGGCATTATAACTTTATACATCAGGGAAGAAACAGGTTTTCATTTAAGTATTCCGCTGAAAAACAAGGTAATCCAGCACCATTGCAACAATGTCAACAAATATAGTAATGCTAGTTAAACTACGCATAATGGCGAGTGGAAGAGAAGCAACAGTAATAAATGGACTGATCGTGATCATATGTCAAGAACATTGTCATGATAAACTGTAATAATTTACAAAATAACATGACTACTCCGATGTTTGTAGATAACAAGTAGAACCAAACAACATATACAAATATAGATAGTCTTCTTGTTCATTAACCGATTATACAAGTACAAGCATCACGTTTGCATAAGCCGAGACCCTACCTCGTTCACTGATATAAGCTAAATAGATATACTACATTTCAGTGCAGTATGTTGTCAGCTAACAATTACTCGATTAGTGATTAGGGTGCAGCTTGTAAACTCAAACCATAAACCATCAATTTGACATACTGATCACAACTCGCACACCCAACTGACAGCATTTAACCAGAAAACAACTACTTCTATTTTCATTACAATCCCCTAATTTGCGGTAAAATGTAATCATAAAGCCGAAACGACTTGTATATTCAATTCTATCATCAATCAAGTTCAAATTACACCGGAAAAAAAAAGTCACTCCTAAGCAAAAATTTATGAACAACCATAACTACTCTTCCTGATAAAAGGGTTTGTCTCAAATTTTGAAAATTAGACCATATCACATACCCCCAATCACAAATTCATTCTTAAGAAAACCCAATTAAAAATTAATTTAATATGATCATGCAATGATAATAAATGAAATAATAATCAAGGAGAGAGAAACTAACGGAGCAAGAGAAAGCGGTTTTCGTCCGGCAGGACGGTGGAGGGATAACTCATTAGCAGAAAAGGATGAAACGACGACGGTTGACAAAGAAAGAGCAACAATGAAGAAAATGAGGGATTCAAACCTCAGTTTCATTGAAAAGGGTTTAATACTGATCAATGTTGGTGGGATAATTTACAGAGAATTGGGGGATTTAGTGGGGTTGAAGAAGGAGGGAGGAAAGAGATTCGAAGCTTGATTAGAAAATTCAAAGGTTGCCTCGAAATTCAACGTTTCAACGTTGCCTTTTTTGTGTTAGTTGTCGTAGCCAAAAGGTTCCTGTGTTTCTTTTTTGTGTTGCTTTGTTTGCCTTTGGGGTTTGGGTTTAAGGTGTTTTTAGGGAAGACAAGCACGTAATTTCAATTAAAGATTCTTAATTTGGATAACGAGTACCAAGCTTTGATGGATTAGAGTACGGAGTTTTTTTTTTTTGTTTTTTTTTTTTGCTAGGGGTAAACAGGATTTTGTCCTATTATTGGTCATATTGAGTTTTTTTTTTTTTTTTTTTTTTTTGAAACAATTGGTCATATTGAGTTGATCACCCTTTAATTTTGAATTTTTGACGTCATATAGAATCTTATCTGATTTATTATCCTACACTTTCACTTCCACTTCCACTTGTCTAATCATTTGTATTAATAAAATAGTACGAATTAATGTTTGATTAGGCACGTAATTTTAATCAAAGATTGTTAATTTAGATAACGAGTTCCAAGCTTTAATGGATTAACAGTTACGCATACAAGTATCAGTGTACGACTCCCCGTTCCTTGCTATGAGTATTGGGTGATACATCAGGCCTTGTCTTATTGTTGGTCATGTTGAATTGGGCATGAAGTTGGGTTAGGCCCAATATAGCCCGAGATTATTAATTTTTGGGTGAGGCTTGGACAAGTATAATATGTAGTACAAACTTTTACTAGCTGTGTTTTTTGGCCTAGTTGTTAATAGCTAGTCTTGAAACCAGCTAACCCGCTAGAGTTGGCTGGTCCCTCAGTCAAGAATGAAATTTAGCCCTGATAAAAATGAACATTTTTTTAACTAACTTATTTTACAATAATTTTGTATTTCTCAGTAATTAAATGTTTATTTTTCATGCAGTATGATGTTCATTCGTATAAAATAAATGTTCATTTTCTAACAAACATATTTTAACAATACGACAACTAAATCGCAATTTCGAAATTGTGAGCTCTACCGCCATTAATGACCTTAGCTTCACCTTCACCATTAACATTCCTAGTATTATTCCTTTTGCTATCATTATTCTTAGCGCCATCAACAATTTTGTCATCATAACCAGCTTCTCTATTAGAGATTTTCTTTGAATACTTTTCTTCTTCCGCCATTGAAGAAGAAGTAGAAGCTTTAAACCACCAGCTGCACTATTTCGCTGGCGAACAAAATCGCAATAATCCGCCACCATCGCTGTTGTCATCGCTGACGCACCGATAATCTTCGCGTGATTCTGAGATCGCTATAAGAGAAAAACTCGATTTTCAAAAATTTCTTCAAATAATTAAATGTTCAGTTTTTTTTTTCTAGTAAATGATCGTTTTATTTCTAGCAAATGTTCATTTTTATTGTCCGGGACCAGCCAGTTATAGTTGGTCTCGAGATTAGGAAAAAATTTGCGTTTATGGCCTGGCTTGAAATAGCCCGAAAAGGCCGCTAGTTCCGCTCAAAATTTACGAATTTGGGCAATCATTTTCAATTCGAACCTTGGTCCAGTCCGGCCTTTAACTAGGGCAGAATTTTTAGTCATAGGCCCGGACCGGCCCAACCTTTGAAAAAAAGTGATATTCTAGAGGTTTCTGGTGAACACTTGGTAACTGACAGATATAAATAGGAAGTGAAGCTCCAGATAATTCCAAATTTCCCAAAATTTCGTAGAGGAGAGAGGAAGAGAAAATGTCATACTTGCTGCCGCATTTGCACTCGGGCTGGGCCGTCGATCAGGCAATTCTCACCGAGGAAGCTCGTGTTGTCATCATCCGTTTCGGCCATGATTGGGATGACACTTGTATGCAGGTACTCCCTCTCTTCCATTTTTCTCTCGTTTTTTTTTTTTACCAATTTTTCTAGAATTAGTTACTAATGTGATTACTGATTAAATTAGCATGTTAAAGTATTGAAATTATAGTTTTTTATTAGTATTTCCCATCAATTTTGTTAATTCTAAATTCGTTCGTTTGGTGTGACAACCGACCAGTTTGATTTATTAAGAGTTTGAAAATTTGAATAAATAAATGTAAGCTAATTTGGGTATACAACAACAACAACAACAACAACAACAACAAAGTTAGGGGTTTTTAAGATGAATCGTCGTAACACCTATTTGCAAAAGCTATAATCTAAGATTCTAATTTATACGAAGTACTTAGTTGTTGAATTGGGATAATACTAGAACAGAGCAACCTGATTGCAAAAAATGAAATTTAGGTTTTATAAGTGGAGGAATTTGTTGACATGGGCATAGATTAAACCTGAAATGTTGATTTGGGCATTTATTCTGGGAAAACAAAATGGTTAATGAGATGCAAATTCACAAACAGATTTTCTTTGTTGACATATGAGGAAATAGGCGACAATGTAACTCCTATTAGCCTGAGAGGGGAAGGGAGGAAAAACTAAATAAAATGGCGGATTTCTGGAAATATAACCAACAGATATATCAAATCTTAATGCTCTGCTATATACCATTAAAGGTGTAATATCGAAGTATGATTTATAAGCCAACTTACCCATTCAACTAAGTTTTGCTCTGTGCGACCCCTACTTGGGTCAATTGCTTTGCGTCCAGTGATGATTTGTTAATTACTAAATTAATGATTTTATTACTTGCACAATTAAGTACAGTTTGTGTCAATTGATCCTGGTTATGAGTCTCATAAGATAGCTGCCTAATTCGGCTAATTGTCCATATTAAGCTGGTATTTACCGATGATGCGATACTAGAATCAGCTCGATTTCATGGTTATAAATGTATAATATTAAGTGCTATTGCTGCAGGTCTTGCTAAAGCTATATTTAGTTATTCCCTATTACTGCCGAGTATTATGATGTTATAGGTGTTGCTAACAATTTGCAAATGTTAGAGGCTATTAACATGGTTGCGTTGTCTATACAACCATTTAATCAATCAATCAAAGCCTTAATCCCGTAAGTTCACACAACAAAATGATTTAATGTCTATACAATCACCCGTCAACTTTTATTATAAGCATTGAGTTTCGCATTTGTGTTGTCCTGTTGATTGAAACATTACTATTATGCACAAAGCTCTTTATCTTAAACCAATTTAAGTCCATTAATCTTAATTGATTGAGATGTATCATATTATAATTTGATAGTTTCAAGTCTCTTTGTACATATCTCATATAAAAAAAAGAGTGAAAATCACCCATTTTGTATCTGAATGTCTGTGCCATTGATGTCTTTGTGGACATAAAATATTTACCTTTTAGCGTTCCCCTTCACATCATCTTATCGTTTCTTTTTCAGAGGCAATGTCTGTGCCTTGATTAAAGAGAACAGCTGATCTTCAACAGAAGGTAGACTCTATATATGTTTAACAGTATTGTTCTAATTTTGGGGAGTTGTCTTTCAATTGTCTGGTGGTGTTACATGTTTCTGAGGCTAGTAGAAAGATACAACATTAATTCATTTTGTTGTGTGAACTTTTTTTGGCCTGTTTCAGATGGATGAAGTGCTGGCTGCTGTAGCAGAGAAAATAAAGAACTATGCAGTGATTTATGTGGTGGACATAACAGAGGTGCCTGATTTCACCACAATGTATGAGCTCTATGATCCATGCACGGTCATGTTCTTTTTTCGGAACAAGCACATAATGATAGACCTTGGTACTGGTAACAACAATAAAATCAACTGGGCTCTTAAGAACAAGCAGGAGTTTATTGACATTGTCGAGACAGTCTATCATGGGGCAAGGAAGGGTCGAGGATTGGTGATCTCACCCAAAGACTACTCAACCAAGTATCGCTACTAATTTGGTTAGGTGCACTTTCGTTCTTCTGTAGATTGTAGTGATCAAAATTGGGCTTTGTTTCTGTAGTTCAGGTTCAGAGGCTGGGGGTTTTGTAACCTCACAAACTGTTACGATTGTGGTGCTGTAGTCTCCATTCAGCCCATTCTATATATGTAATTATTGTATTTGCTAGTCAATAAGTCAAGTTAATCGCATAGTATACTTGTTTTAGTTGGCAAAATTTGTGTACTCTTATGGAAATTAATGTTTCTTTCCTCTCGTTATGACATGCCGTATGGCTGGACATACTCTTAAGGAGTTTTTTCCTTGTAAACAAATAAGCAAATTTCTGATTCAAATTACAAGGTTGCATTGATTTATTTGGTTGAGAAGGCTTTGTAAGTAACATTTTGAAACATTAACTAAAATGCCTAAAAGTCAAATATAGTAGCATTTGGCATTGAACAATAATAACTTTATTATGCGACCGCTGAAGGATCTATGCTAACTTGATTAGAGGATTAGAGGATAATTACTACGGAGTAACAAATTATTGACCTAGTGGTAGGAAAGAAACCTTAACTTTGTGCAATTGGTTCCTAATACTATACGAGTATGACTTTACATTTTTAATTTGGTCGTCTAATTCATAGCTTGTTATAAATCTTATAATGGTCTAATAAATCAAAGAATGTTATAAAATTATACTCCATAAATTTTAGAGTTTGTTGTATCTCCCCTTCCACGTCCACCCACAAAAACATTCAAATACAGATTAATAGTTAAATACTAAAGTTCTACTAAAACACGTGTGAAACTCAATTTTAAACTAACAAAAATTATAAACAGAATCAGAGGTTTGCAACAGAAATAACAGAATGGGATACAATTAAATAAATTAATTTTTTATTGTTTCATTTTCTGAAACCGTTAATAACTAATTCCATTTCTGTTACAAAGTAGTTATTATTAATTTTTTTTTATTATTATTTTTTTTTAAAAAAAAAAAAAAAAAAGGTAGTAACCCAATTAAGATGTCGGGTATAATCTGTCTATATATACCTGATATTTACACTTAAATAAGTGAGATCGAAACTCAGTAAAATTAAAAGAAATTATTAGCAGAAATTAGCCAACTAAAGAGAATCGACCACGAGCTCTCTGTAATGGCGGATGAAGAAATTGTTAACATCTTTGGTATACTTCATTTCTTTAACTTCTTTCTTTTTAGTACGTATTTCATTCATTTCTTCAATTATTTAATTTCTTGTATTTAATTTCTTCAATTATTCATTATTTTGTTCTTGAATATACATTTAATTTCTCAATCATTTTTGTTTTCATTCAAGAAGCCTCTAAGCAACATCCTCTGCAACGAAACGTTCTTCCTGGACCGAAAGGAGCATTCGAGTTAAAGGAGACCAAAGATGGATTTTACATTCGTATAGACATGCCGGGAACGATTCAGAGAAGTGTTAACGTTGATAAGGATGAAGATAACAGTGAGGTTCATATTCGAGGCTACTCCATAAAAAATGATGATTATTGTTATTGGCCTTTTCATGAATCACGTAGGTTTTACACTGGTACTATTAAAGTCGAATGTCATCAGAATTTTGACCAAGTGTGGGTCAATCATGAAGTCAACAATGGTACCTGCAGAATCTTCATTGGTGGTGTTGATAATAATGCCTACTTCTCTTTTCGTACTCCCAAGAACTCTGGTACGTCTATCTGTTATTTTATTTAATTTCGATGAAATAATTTTGAAATATAATTTTAATTTGTTTGTTCTAAATTTATTGTTTTTTGATGAAGGATCTTTTGAACCTCATGTGTATGATAACCATCTTGATAATCCTGACAAAGCTCGAATTGGTAATGAAATACTTTCATGTACATGAATTTTTAATTTTTTTATGAAAAAATAAAATAATTAATCAAGCGTGCAATTTTTATTCCTTAAACCATCGTAGAGGGAGTGCACGATGTTTTTATGCACAGCGTGAATTGTTACTGCTGCAAAGGCCAGAGCGGGTGTATAACTTTTAATGGTAATGTAATTACTTGTATTTTTCATCTTTGTTGCTAAAAAGTTATATGTACATGTAGTTTTGGAGCTAATTACATATACGTGTCGTGTTATGATGGTGTAGGGCCGTGGCACGAAGAGGATGGTCGTATTAACCCGTTCATTGATAAAGGAATGAAGGGTGTATTCGAGACCAAATTCGAATTGGTGGGCGAAGACTATTACATGTACTTCCGTTTGGATATGCCGGATTGCTCTGATATTTATTACAAAGTGGAAATAGGAGAAAAGTGCGTTGATATTTATGGGCCTAGGGACTCAACTGCAGAGTGTATACTGGATGATAATGGTGGACGTGAATACCGCTGTAGGATAACATTGATGTGCAAATGTTGTTCATTTGATGTTGATCATACGTGCAACGTGCATCTACTTCGAAACGGGGTTTTAAGGTTATTACTCAAGATTAACGAGAGCAACCATAATCTGGTCATGATTGGTACATCAGCTCCCGGCCATCACAATCGGTTGGAACGTGATGAACGGGTCTGGGCCACACCTGCCATGAGTCTCCACAGTCATTTTTATGACCCCACTCCCGCCTCGGACAACCAGTGTTACACTACAGCTACAAACAAGATGAACCGGATACACCTACGTCGCCGCCACCACGGTGCCAAGAGGTGACATGTTGTTTGTTAAGCGCAAGGCCTGCATCCCGCCAACTCAAATGTTCCATTTTGCTAGGTGTTTTTACTTTAGCTCTGTTTTTTTTTAGGTTGTGATCTTTGTGAAGAGACAAAACTCTAATCTTTTATGCTATACTAGTAGATCTATAACAAACAATGTAAGGAATTATAATTGGTGTTGCGTGCTATTGTATTAGTTTGGTATTGTATTTGTACATACTCCATAACAATTACTCCGAATTGAAGTAGTTGACTGGTCTACTGTGTGATGTGTTTTTTTTCGTCTATATGATGAAAAGCTAGTTCTAATAATAATAATAATAATAATGCGTTGATTTCGTGTAATTTTACGTATGGACTAATATACCTTTTTGAATTTATGTATAATATCTAATGATAAAATGAATTGGATATAAATGAAATACGTGACTAAGTTAATAAAAAATAATTTATGTGATAATGCACTTGTGGTGCTCTTTTTATAATTATCTTTGATTCTTGCAAGTATTTTGGTACACGATAGAAGTGAATTGTCGATCAAATCATTATAATTTGCCATTGATTAAGTAATAATACACATTCGGTCATAATATTCGCTATAAATGCTACCGTATATTTTACAATTGAACTAGTAGGAAAGAAACCTTCTAACCTAGGGTACTTTGAATTAAGAGTTCAATCGTATTCAAGGATGGCGGAGATCCCCTACCTTTTGAGTTCTCAAAATATCAGTTAGTAAAACTGAACGAGTTGAATTGTAAAAATTTCTTTAAAAAAAAAAAAGGTGAATTGTAAAAAGTTCTAAACTAGTATTCGATAGAATATTCTTTTTATCTTAAAAAATAGATGGAATATTTAAATTAATCCATAAAAACAAAGTCATAGATTATTATTTGATTTTAAGATAATAATATATGAAAAAAAAATACAGTCAAACTTAATGCTTGAGTAGCGCAAAAGTCAAATTCGAAGACTAATAGTTACTGGACCTTAGTTAAGTACTCCGTAGTAAAAACACTGCCCAGCTTGGACCATGTTTAACTCCAGAAAATCAAATTAGCAACTGTGTCAGTGCAGTGGCGCAAAACAGCTAAACCCTAAAACCCTTGCAATTTTCTGGGTTGAGAGAAAAAAGAGAGTATTTTTTTCTGTTTAAATTTTATTTTGATTCTTCTCTTCAATATTCAATCAATTCGTCGAACTTCTAATACTTTGATTAATCAATTGATTGATTAAATAAAGTTGTAATTTGTAATAAAGCTGGAATAAATTTGCTCTCGAACAATGTTGCAGAGCAAATCCTTCGTCAAGAAGACGAAGGGAGGCAAAGTTGTCAAGGTTTTCTCTCTCTTCTTTCTCCCAATTATCGAAATCTAAACCCTAATTTTACCCAAATTTTTGTGATTTTATGCTTGATACAGGTTGTTCGAGAGCATTATTTAAGAGATGATATTTATTGTGGAGCTTTAATTTGTAAAGCTTGTGATTCTTCGGTTGCTCGGTTGAGCTTAGATGCTTCTACTATACTTGTTCTTGATGCCAACGTTGTTCTTAATCAGGTATTGTATTTGTGTTTGAATTTGACTTTGAGCTTAATTTTGATTTTTGTAGGATGAATAGTGTCAATTTATTTTGTTAATTGCTATGTTTGATTTGGGTTATAGATTGATTTGCTTGAGAATTCCGCAATTGATGAAGTGGTGGTGTTGTCAGTGGTGTTGGAGGAGGTTAAGAATAAGAACTTATCGGTTTACAACCGGCTTAGAACTCTTTGCAGCAATTCGCAAAGGAAGTTCTTCGTTTTCTCGAATGAGCATCACAAGTAAGTTATGAACATCAATTTCATGCTTTCATTTTGCAAGGGCGAGAGGTGGTGAAATGCTGAAATTATAGTGAATAGGAATACAATGTGAAATGAGTTGTAGTATCTGTTGTAGGACAATGCACTCCCCTTAACTATATTGGACCATCAAATGTCTTAAGTAGCTGTTGTGATAATATGAACTTCAGTAAGTTGTCATCAAATGTCGAGTATGGTAACTTAAGTGGTTGGGTTATCTTGATTTTGGGTTGACTAGTGGTTGTTCACGATCCAAACATATTGAGTTTGGTTGCAAATTGATAGGACATATTTAGATCACAAAGATTGTTATTATTTTAGGCTGCTCAATTATTATTTTTATAATTTTATAATTAAAACCATAATTTTGATCTTATTAACTATTGTGAAAGTGTGATTATCAACATTTAATATGCTTGAGATATACAATAATGAGTAACTTAACACCTTTAACTTTGAAACCCCTCTACTTTATATACCATATTTCGCCAGATTGGTTACGTCAGTTACATGTTTGTCAAGTTGGGCACAGTTTGTCCAACTTCTAGTGCAATATATTGGTAGGAAAGATAATTCGGATCTTGGAAAACATTTGTTCTTAAACTCAATGTTTTGGGGTCAGGTTCCATTTCATTTTTGGGTCCAGATCAAAAATTTTCAATCTGTGCAATCTGGAGGATAACCATTTATTTTTACGACTAGTTGCAATAGCAATCAAGTTAGTTTAGTGTACTTTTGGCAGTTGGTTAAAGTAGAGCTCATTACTTATTCTCCAAAATTTTATAATCCCATTACAAATCTCAGTGTACTGTTGTTGTA